ATTGCATGCACATGTAATGATCAAATATTTAGCACTGAAAATACGAAAAATGACACACAAACGACACACACACACACACGGCATAAAACAAAAACGTAAAGTAAGTCGAGCGTAATTTGTTCGGATTTGTTGTTGTCGTTGCTGCTGTTCGTTCACCAGCCGTTGACTGATTCGCGGTCACATCGCAAATGCTAATTCATGCACAGCCAATTGGATTTGTATATAATCAGTACAAATATTGAATAATTTAACATTGTGCTGTGAATTTTGCGGATTAAATTTGGGTCTCAATTTTGTGTTTATTTAAAGTCACTTTCAATTTTTCGGTGCTTTTTTTGCGCTTTTGCGTTTGCTATTGTTGTTGATTGGTTGACAAATATAACGTTTTTTTCCACACCAATTTCGTATGTGCGTCATTACTTTAGCTTTTATGTTGTCCGCCTCCAGTTCCGATTACAATTCTCACTTCGAATGTTTGATACAGAAAAATAAGTCGAACGAGAATAAAAGGGACTTATTTTCTGTGACGTATACAGCAGCAGCCCAGCACAAAGCACAAATCATTTTCTTTTTACCGAAAAAATCAATAAACATTGGCAACTTTGATGATCTGCGATTGATGTGGTCGCATTGGTGCGCAGAAAATCCCATAAATCTCGCCCCAGCTCTTGTCAATTTCCTTTCTCGGTTCATACAGCGGAGAACAAAAGTGGGAGAGTGAGTGAGTGAAAGAGAAACCCAATACGATGTACAAAATGAACTCGCACAGTTTTTATTTTATCCTAAAATCCATCTTGCCTCAAGCTAAAAATAACATTTAACTTCCATTTAGCAAAATGTTGGCTTGCTCATACACATCCACTTCGTTCGATATAGATAGATTGGCAAGAACATATCTCTCTCTCTCAGGCTCTTCTCTCTTACTTTTGCATAAACTTCTCCGTGTGTGCTCTCGATACGATGCGATGACGATAGACACCGAAAGAGGGATAAAACACTACAACAACAGGAAATATATTGCGTTGCGATTTTGCGACGAACAATGATTGAAAGTGGATGTTAGTCTATGTAGAAAATCGAGCCATCTTTGATACTTGATTAACGAATGAATCCGTTCAAGCATCGACCCGATGACTGCTTGCCTATCTCATGAACTAACACTGCAAAATCTTCTTCATCATAATCAGTGGCAGTGTATCAACATTTACATTCTCTTTCTCTGCTCGTTCCAATTTCACAATTGAATCCAACCGCAAGCAAATACCAAGACATTTGTCGAAAATATATTCCATTTTAATTATATTCATGTAAATTGAACAGGCAAAAGAAACATTGCAACCGAAAGCCCCAGATAAGTTTCTCTCTCTCTCTCTCGGCCGCATGAAATTCATCATTTTAATTACTGCGGAGGAAAACGATTTTCCTGTTTAGAAAACTTCATCTATACCATAACCGAAACGAGCTAACAACGGATTTTAATCAGCGCACACAAGAAAATGAGCGAAACACTTGATGAGAACAATTTTGTTTGTCAAAATCTTGAACGCTTTGCCTGTTGCTTGTGATGGTTGTGTATTATTTCTCACCTGTAAAACAACTCGGGTGTCGCCTCGAAAACAAGTTGCAATTTGTAGCAAAAGTAAATGTTTCCTCCCTATTGCGGCCGTCCTTTGTCACAAGGCAATATAAAACATTGTGCTTTGGTCTGTTTCTGTGTGTCTGTGGGTATGAAATCGGGACAAAGATTTATGGTTCTGTTGAAATGGGTACGAGTGACGCTTTTAAGATATGATAAGTAAATAAATTGTAGATGATATAAAATATTTGCCCGTGAGCTCATGTTCTCCCTTTCTTTATTCCCTACATCTCGCCCACGCTCAGGTGTTCTACAAGTGTTCGAGTCGACAACGCTGCCATACATTATATATTCACATACTTTTCACCTTCATTTCGAAACAAACAAATGTAACGAATTTGTTCTCCTTTTTATTCTCAGAAGGAATTGTCTTTCCAGCACAGCGTTCGTCAACGTCATCGTTGTCGTACAACGCTGTCACTTAATTAATTTACATAAAGTCATTTATAACTCGATGGCGAGATACAAAGAGAGAGATAGAGGCAGAGTGAAGCTATGTCGTCGTCATCGCCGTTGCTCCAAGGTCTATATTTTTCTCTATGAGCACCGAGAGAATTTTTGTCTATTTATCACAAAACAAAGAGTTTTGCTTTGGCAAATATTTCTAATTGAATAGTCAAGGCAATCGTTGAGTTTATGAAGCGCAGCGCAGGCATAGAGTGTGACAACGAAACGGCTCGTAAGCACACCAGCTTCTTCGAAACTCGATTTTTTCACCTTTTTTTTCTTCCTTCTCTGTGTGTATTACGTTAAACTTGAGAATCGACCGACCGACCGACCGATGCAACGACAGCACAATAAAGACAGAGAGTGGAACAAGTTAAATGAAGAGAGCAAAAAAACTTCGGCAAAAGCCGCAGCCTTTTGCAATGTAAGCCACATTTCAAAGCCAGAGCAACCGAATGGGGAAAAAAGGTTAAAAAAACGAGGGAATAAAAATGAAGAAAAACCAGTTAAAACAATAAAAGAGAAAGAGAGCGAGAGAGAGAGAGAAAGAAATGTGCGCGGTCGGAGTTCATTAGAGCCATTTGTATTTTTGCTGTTCTGTCACTGTGAAGCATATTTATGGCATTTGCGTTTGCCGCTCGTACAATACATTGTCCGTTGTCGTCCAGAATGCCACTGGAAAACTTGCCCAACTGTAACCGCCGTTTTGCCGCACACACACACACACAGAGAGAGAGAGAGAGGGAGAGAGAGAAAAGGCAGCAAATCCAACTAGAACATCCAACTAACCACACGAAATACAAAAATCAACAGCAACAACGAAAAAATGGTGCAGATGAAATATGATTTAATGTTTCATATTTTTTCTTTCTCCACATTGCATTGTGTTTATCTGTTTTAATTTGCATAATATTTATTCAGTTTGCTAAGGACGTTATACTCTTTGCCATCATATCATTTTATAACAACCAAGTAATAATAACTTTTTGAATGAAAAAAATGCCATCTTCGTGTCGCTCAGCTATACACACATAGAAGAGAGAACAGCAGCAAAAGCGACAGCATCATCATCATCATGATCATCCCATCGAATTGAATAAAGTATTGTTTGCGCCGCACCATCGTGGCCGCACAGAGATATGACTAAGAGCACAAGCGCTTATCAATTTTGCTGTGACTGAGCGAAGAAACGCGCGCGCTCACGCTTGTGAGAATAGCTAGCAGACGAACGAAAAAAAATAAGAAAACGAACACAACAAATACAACAAGCAAACAGCGCGAAACGAAATAAGTGCAAAATAACACACAGAAAAAAATCGCTTGTAAAGAAGGAATGAAAGAAGAGCGCGAGAGAGAGAAGAAAGAGTGGAATGAGTGTGAGGTGCGCGCGAGCGTTCGCGCGACAATTCCCTCACACAAATATGTAATAGAAGGTACCGAAATGACTTTTTGCGAACAAGTGTAATGCGGGCAAAAGAGAGCGAATGAAATGACAGCGGGCAACAAGAATAGAAGGAAAAAACAATATGTAGCTCTAACGACCGAGTAACGAACAAGCGAAAGAGTCGCAACAGCACACAAAACGAAACGAGAAAGGAACGAGAGAAAAAAAGCAACTCAACAGCAGAAGCGCACATACACGCAAACACATTTCAGTGTTCTATTCTATATGTATCGAACTATGAGCTTCGGAATCTATGCGTGTGTATTTGTTTCGCTTAGCGACAGCGAACCCATATTCAATATTGAGTTGGCGCACTAACTTGAATTACAGCTTCAACTCCGCGTATGTTCATTCGATTCGGTTTTTCGGTGTGTTTGTTTTTATTCCCTTTTTTGCATTTGCTTTTGATTTCTTCTTTTTTTGTCCATATAAAAACCGAACAATTTTATTGAAAACAAAATTACAAGCACGCAATCTAAGCTCCCTCTCTCTCGCTCGCTCTCTTTAAATATTCAGATTATTTTCCCTTCATCCGTCTATTCTTAATTCATTTGTTGTTGTTGTTGTTTTTTTTTCTATTCTAACGGTTGAACTCATGATGATGATCTAATGGAATGTATAAACTTAGAAAAGTATATTTAAAAAAATTTCGCCAAGTCTCAATTTCTCACTCTCTATCTATCCACTGGCTGGAATAGATGAGATTACTCAGAGTTTTACTACTTAATATTTTCGCCTTGTCGTCGTTGTCGGTGCGCTCTTTTGTATGGAAGGTGAAAATATTGTGTGTTTTTTTAAACGAAATTTCGAAGCGTTAATATGCGCACACGCGCTTCCTATCTTTCTTCCATCTGTGATTCTGTCTCTTATGCTATGAATAGTGGTCTCTTTCTGACGGGCGTGATGACTCACGCCAAACGTCACGAGAACTTTATTGCTAACAACTACAGATTAATGTTGTCCTGTCTACAACAGCGCTTGTAAACGTTCGAGTGATAATGACTAGCAAGTTGATGGTTAGCCACAGCAATATACTCAAACATCACTAATGCTCAAGCGTAAAAAATCTATGAAAAATATGGTCGTATGTTTTTTTTCATCGACCTTTTCTTTCATCGACCCCATCCAATTCTGTATGCACATATTTATGAATTCATTAACAATATTATTGCTATTTGCTAATGACACTTAGTTTTATGTGTGTCATTTTCGATATTTTCGACTGTGGTCGTCATCGTCGTCAAATTTATGAAATTAATTCCGTACGGAAGAAGGCCAGTTCCTTTGAACTCGCATGAAATTCTCCTGGCCTCTGGCTTGATACCCGCTTCGCTTGTTTGATGGAAATGCGAATTATATTTTCCTCACATCTTTTATTTTTGCCTTCATAATTTTTGATCCACTTAGACTGGTGGTTGTGTCATAGATTTTAATGAATTTCTTTTCTTCATCTTTTGTTTCCGCTCCATTTAGAAATGGTTGAAGCCATGAAGAAGGTTGCTTCACTCGACGTGGAATTGACAGTTGAAGAGCGAAACCTCTTGTCGGTAGCCTACAAAAATGTCATCGGTGCTCGTCGTGCATCATGGAGAATCATTTCATCCATTGAACAAAAAGAAGAGAACAAGGTTTGTATGGCAATCATATTCAGTAATCACAAGTGTCCATTTTTTTTTATTGCGAATCTTAGCTAATAGGATGTATGCTCATACCGTGTATGTATGCATGTTTTATTTTCTTTATAGGGAGCCGAAGAGAAAATCGAAATGATCAAAAACTACCGTGGTCAAGTGGAGAAGGAGTTGCGTGACATCTGCTCAGACATTTTGAATGTTTTGGAAAAACATTTGATTCCATGCGCTGGTACCGGCGAAAGCAAAGTCTTTTACTACAAAATGAAGGGTGATTACCACCGTTATTTGGCTGAATTCGCCACCGGCACCGACCGCAAAGATGCCGCCGAAAATTCACTAGTTGCATACAAGGCTGCTAGCGATATTGCGATGACTGATCTTCCACCAACACACCCAATTCGGCTTGGTCTTGCTCTCAATTTCTCGGTGAGTTTTTCCGATTCGAAACAATTCTTCGAAACGAAGTTTATTTTCGGATGAATATTTAATTTTGATAAAAGTTTATTTTTGGATAAAATTTTGGGTTTTTGGCCGATAGTTTATTTTAGAGATAAGACCTATTTTTACATTTCCGGAGTCGGTAATTTGACTAATGGTGTTGGTTTTCGGTTTTGTTTCGGGAAAACAAATAGGTATTCTACTATGAAATCTTGAACTCTCCGGACCGTGCCTGCCGATTAGCTAAAGCAGCATTCGACGACGCCATCGCTGAGTTAGATACCCTAAGTGAAGAAAGCTACAAAGACTCCACCCTCATCATGCAACTGCTAAGAGACAATCTCACACTATGGACATCGGATATGCAAGGCGATGGTTTGTATTCAATTCAGTTTAACTTCACATTACAGAAGAAAAAAAGAAGAGCCAATCTCAAATTTCAATCGAACTAATGCATTTCGTACGTTTCTGTGTTCTGTATTGCAGGTGAAGGTGAACAAAAGGAACAAATTCAAGATGTAGAAGACCAAGATGTATCATAATTTACACAACTATCCTCATCTAAACAGTAAACAAGAAAAAAAACAAAAACACACATCCTCTTCACAAAACAATTTTCAACACAAATTCAGCAAAAGTAAACCAATCATTTAAGAAAGCGTTTAGTAAACTCAAAAAAAAGAAGAAAATGAAAACACGGCATGAACTCTATCAAATGAAAATAGAAGAAGCATTTTCAAAATAAAACCATACAAAAAACATAGAAAACAATTACAGTTTTTTTTTAAATTTCTTTACATTTAAAACCAACAACAAGAACAACACAAAATGAAAAAAAAATCACAAAAAAGGAAGGGATTAAGAAAAAAAATCATTTTAAAAATCACAAAAAATATTAATAACGATTATTTACATTGTGAAGCGTGTGTGAAAAGTAAAAGAGAAGCATCTAATTTTAAGGAAAGTAATTAAAAAAAAATGAAAAAAATGAAAGAATATATAAGCTAAGGTAAACATAAATTATGATTATGTATTGTTTTGTCAGTAAAGAGTTAAACAAGCAACAACAACAACCGTAAAAGAAAAGGAAAAGAAAAGAAAAAACCAGAAACAAATAGAACTTCAGTATCAAACACCATTTTACACTTGCAGAAATGGCAGCAGTAGGCAATAAACAATTCCGAATGAAAAAAAAAACTCTTCTGATGGCCCATTTTTTAGTCAATGTGCAATGCATATTTTTCTGCATTGAAAATTCCATTTGACATACATTTTGTTTGTTTATTATTTTTTTGTTTTCTTTTTTAAAACGCATTGGTGCATCCACTGAGACACGAATCACTACTACTTTATATACTATTTCAGAATGGGCTAGCCACCAACGCTTGTATGCGTTGTTTGATTGCCATTTAGCCCGTCATTCATGCAACCAAATCACAAAGAACAAAACTCCTCACAAATGCCACTACACATCCCACACAATACAAAACGCTCATTCATAATTCTACTTTTTGTTTATCTGAACAAAGAAATTGCACATTTTTTTAATTGATTTTATTCTCTTTTTTTTCTCTTTGGAATTATTATTAAAAGTGAAAATAAAATTAAATGAAAAAAAAAACCAAACACAAACACAAAAGCAAATCCTTTTATATTCTGTTTGTGCGCTATTAACTCCCCAACCTTCGAAAATTTCTGAGTGTAGATTTTCGGTGTGCTTTGAATACACACCTTGAACGCAGCTTAACAAAAAAAAATATAGATATTTATACACTTTATCTAGATCATGATATCAGACGGACAAGTAATTAAAGAAAACAAAATGAGAAAAAAAATCATAGACATTTTTTTCGGTGTAATATTCGATATGTGCTTTTGGAATCGTTGGCGTCATCGAATGAGCGGACTGTAAATAATCAATATTTTAGATCTCTATCATAATGAAAGATCTCCCAAATCCAGCGACGGCGTATTACACGTTTTCTTTCCATCGAACTGGCCCCAAAAAAAAGTCTTCTCATTCTTTGTCACCGGTCGCTTCCGAAAGCTAGTTTCTCTCTTTCTCTTTAAGTTGGGAATTCATTTCGATTTCACTTTTCACGACAACAACAGCAAAACATGAAAACAAATGCTTTTCTTTCGCACAGTGAATAAATATAAAACAAAAACCATGAGTATTTTTTGTCAGACCTTCTTACAAGATTCAAAAAAAAAAACAAACAAAAAAGTATAGAGAATAAGAAATGAGAAAAAAAATGCTATATGAATTCATTTATTAGTAGATATTTACTTGAGCTAAAGACCGAGATACATAGAACATGCATCAGCTACAAGAAAAAAGGAAATTTGTTTCATTGAAAAGCAGAAATCATAAACACACACCCACATTCACAGCAACAATGTAATATTATTTAAATATTATCGAGGTAAATTTAATAATAATAATATTAAATAACAATAAATATGAAAAAAAAACAAAAGCCAAAAAATGTCGTGTCACCAGTTATTTTGTGAACGTTCTTCTTTCTCAGCAGTGGAATCGAATGGGCTTTGATGAGATATAAAAAGGTAATGAGATAAAGGAAGATCAAAGGTAACGTATAAACTTCATGGGTAAGGCAACGTTGGAATCTTCTAATTCTGCTGGGTTTCATGAAACCCTTTGTCAAGCACGGTCCCAATTTCGAAGAATTTTCCTGACGTTTTAAATTCAAAATCAACTCAATTTTGAAAATTGAATTAAGTTCAGAATTTGAATGCTATCAGATAATGCTGTTTACTTGGCTCGAAACGCAAGAATCAAAAATTCAAATCAAAATATCCTCTTCATTCGCTGAGTTTAGCAAGTAGCTCAAATTGAGCGCCGATTTGCTCACAAACAAAATGACGTCTCACATGACATTTCCAAACAGAAAACAGATTGCACTGAGCTGTCAAACGGAGAGTTTCTATCGTGAAGAAAAACTTTTGTTCAGTCAATCACCATGGGAAAGTTCCAAAATCTTGAATTAAGCGAGGCGCAACGCCGCATTGAGCAGCTCAAATACCAACGACGCATGGATTTGCGTGCACAGTTTTGGAAAAACATGACCGATCCAAACAGACACGGTGCAGGCGAAGGTGGTGTCCTGGTAAGTTTTCACAATATTCAATTCGACGTATACATAACCTCACGACTTGTTTTGTGCCTGTGTTATGTCATCAAATCATTTGTAAATATGCCTTGTCCAGCGACGATGAACGAGTATTTTCCATTTAATTGAAGCGGATTGCAGATAAAATGTGTTGCATAATTGATTTTTTTCGATTTTTTCACAGTTTGATCCAGCTTTGGCTCGTTTCCAAGCAATGAGAGTTTCACATGCAGAGCATTTCCGACCAACTGGCAAAGCAGCTTTCTGGGGGTTTGCATTGCTTGTCGGACCAATGTGCATCCTATACAAACTTGTCCGACGAGAGCGTGATGCAAGGGAATTGAAATACCGTAACGGAGAAGTATCCTATGCAGAACGCGAATTCAAATTCGTCTAAATCCAAATCCAAATGCATTGTTAACCTTTATTTTGTCGTTTGTCAACAATACTACGGCAACCAATGACATTTCGAGGCGTAGTTTATAAAGAAAATTTAATAATACCAACATAAAAATCTAATAAAACAATTGATAAAGAAAAGACCAAATGTGTTTAGCTTAAATTAATGTTTATTTCATGATTTAGTATTTAGTTTTATTATTTCTCCTCCAGTTGACGATCTCTGGAAATGACATGGTCTTCAAATTTTACCATATAGGTCGTTCCCTTATGCCAATGTGCTGTCACTTTGCAAGGCTGTAGAAGAGAAATGATCCGATTAATATGAATATTTATATGGAGCATCACTTGGCGCCATGAATTCACTGACCAGAGCCTCAGTTGAATAAATTTTCCAATTACAACAAACCTAATGACTTCTTAAAACGTTGATCAATACTTACAAATCCACAATTACTGAGTACCGCTTCGATTATCCCAGCTGAGAATGTTGCACAGTTTAATGAGCCCTTATCTTTCGGTACACTGATGAATTTATTCACCAGTGGATCTTTTTCAATGATATAATACGTTCGATCATCGTCATTTGCATGCTCCAGTTTTTCAGCTTCTTTGCCAAAGAGACTTTTCCACAGAGTTGTTTTAATGAACAGCAACATGTTGATTAGTTTCGTTTCACGTTTGGAATTCCGTTCTCGAACAAAATACAGATCAATCACACGGGTTCCGACATCTCTACCCAAGTCATGAAGCCTATATTTCAGAGAAATTCGTCGTAAATATCGCTTTGGCCCACTAAATTTTACCGTCTTGAGGAAGAAAAGTTACCTGTTCTGCATTTCTGGAACAGTCAACACTCGACTTTGACAGTATTGCACGAGTTCGGAAAACAACAGTGCAAAACTGCTCAATGAAACTTCACCTTTGCCTCGGCTCAATGGCTTGTCCAAGATGCTAGTTCGTGGTCGTGTTAGTGACATGATTTCTGTTTTGTGAATTTTCTCAACAAATCTAGTATTTGTTGTGTGCAACACGAATGGAAACGTACTTTGACTTGAATTGAAAACCAAAAAACTTATTGGAATATTGATTAAATGCACAATAGAAGGAGGATTTCAGTCAGTTTTCATCCACCTCAACAAAACTAATCAAAATTATGTTGATATGTTGTGTCATTGGCAAATCTACGGTATCGACGTCAAAATATCCCACATTTGACATTTCCACTCAAAATGACATTTGAATCAATTCAACGCTTGATTATTGATGCCGGCTCATTGCGAAATTGAACCAAACAAAAGAAGCACGCAATTTGACCGAGTTCCACTTAAAACGAATGTAATTCAAAGGATTGTGAGGAAAATATAAAAATTTAACATGAAGTAAGTTGATTTTAGGTAATTTTTTTGGATTGAATTAAATGAAATTTGCATGATATTTTTTTTTTAAAAAGGCTCAGCGTGGATGGTTTATTGGTGTACTTTCCGTATGAGTATATCTATCCCGAGCAATATGAGTATATGCTGGAGCTCAAGCGAACTCTTGACGCAAAGGTAATGTCACTATAAAATGAGAAAGAAAGAAAGTTTTTTTTTTCAATGGAAAACTAAAAATGACTTGATTGGCAGGGTCATTGTTTACTGGAGATGCCTTCAGGGACTGGCAAAACTGCCACTTTGCTGTCATTCATTGTTGCGTACATGATGGAAAACCCAAACATCATCCGAAAACTGGTTTACTGTTCGCGTACCGTGCCCGAAATTGAGAAAGTAATCGCCGAATTGAAAACATTGATGGAATATTACGAGAAAAATTCAACGATACAGCCAAATATGACCGGTTTAGTGCTGAGCTCACGTAAAAACATGTGTATTCATCCCGATGTGAGCAAAGAACGTGAAGGAAAATCTGTCGATGGCAAATGCTATGGACTGACAGCTGGTCATGTACGTGAACGGGCCAAACGTGATGATACAGTGCCAGTTTGTCAATATTACGAAGGTTTTGATATTGAAGGGCGCGAATCGGTTTTGCCGGTTGGCATTTACAATTTGGATGATCTGAAACAGTATGGTCGTGATCGAAATTGGTGTCCATACTTTACCGCTCGTTATGCCATCAACAATGCACACATCATCGTTTACAGTTACCATTATTTGCTAGATCCGAAAATTGCCGAAGTCGTTTCAAAGCAGCTTTCGCGTCAAGTGGTCGTGGTATTCGATGAAGCTCACAATATCGGTAGGTGACTTGTGATATTGAAGAGATTATATTCAGACTACTTCGAGTTTTTGAGCAGTGAATAATAGACAAAGCGTGATTTTTTCAATTGTTTCTTTCTAATTTCGTAGACAATGTTTGTATCGACTCCATGAGTGTTAAAATTAATCGCAGAACCATCGAACGTGGTACGACTGCGTTGGGAAAATTGGAAGCATATGTCAAAGAGTAAGTAAAATCGACTCCAATTTTGGGAATGTAGAAGAAAAATGCGTATGAAAGAAATACGTCCTCAAAATTGCATCAAGCATTGTACTTACCTCAGTTGATTAACCAATCCGTATCTAAATAACTTTCAACTGGTTTATAATTCAGATTCAAAGAAGAAGACGAGAATCAATTACAAAGAGAGTACGAAATGATGTTGGAAGGTCTACGAAAAGCGAGCGAACAAAATGACGCTGACATGTTTTTGGCGAACCCAATTCTCCCGGATGATGTGCTAAAAGGTACTTTACATCATTCTTGAATATCAAACGTTTTTTTTTCCTTAATATTTTGGTTCAAATTTGATTTCATTCACTAGGAGCTGTTCCCGGTAATATAAGAACTGCAGATCACTTCTTGAGCTTTATGAAGCGATTGATTGAATACATAAAAACAAGACTGCGCGTACAGCACGTGGTCCAAGAAACTCCCGCTCGATTCCTCAAAGACATTCAACAGAAAGTGTGTATCGAACGAAAGCCACTCAGATTTTGTGCTGAACGTTTGGCATCACTGATGCGAACATTAGAAATCACCGACATGACTGATTATGGTGGATTGGTTGTTGTAAGTAGAATTCCCTCCTTTCAACTTTCATCTCGAAATTTCAATTTAAAATTGACCTTAAACATCCATACTTTCAATTAGATTTCCCATTTCGCCACATTGATTTCAACATACACAAAAGGATTCACAATTATCGTAGAGCCATTCGACGATAAAACGCCAACCGTTATCAATCCAATTTTGCACTTCAGTTGCCTGGATTCGTCGATTGCCATGAAACCGATTTTCCAACGATTTCAAAGTGTTGTTATCACATCTGGTACATTGTCACCCATCGATATGTATCCAAAGATTCTCGACTTTCAGCCGGTTCTGATGAGTTCATTCACAATGACACTTGCTCGACCATGTTTGCTACCGATGATTGTATCAAAAGGAAATGATCAAGTGGCGATATCATCAAGATTTGAAACGCGTGAAGACACGGCCGTCATCAGAAATTATGGGCAACTTTTAGTGGAAACAGCACGTGTAGTCCCAGATGGAGTTGTCTGTTTCTTCACATCGTATTTGTACTTGGAATCAGTGGTGGCTTCGTGGTACGATCAGGGAATCGTTGACCAACTTCTGAAGCATAAATTGTTATTCATCGAAACTCAAGACAATGCAGAGACGTCATATGCATTAATGAATTATGTGAAAGCATGTGATTGTGGCAGAGGTGCCATATTGTTGGCTGTTGCACGAGGAAAAGTGTCCGAAGGAGTGGATTTCGATCATCATTACGGAAGAGCTGTACTCATGTTTGGCATTCCATACGTTTACACACAATCGAGAATATTGAAGGCACGTTTGGACTACCTGCGAGATCAATTCCAAATTCGTGAAAATGATTTTCTTACATTCGATGCCATGCGGCATGCAGCTCAGTGTGTGGGTCGTGCCATTCGGTTAGTATTTTTTTTTAGATTTTCATCGAAAAAATACGTTCATTTCAATGGATTCAATGAGTTAGTTCTGAGTTTTGGTAGACACCTTTATAAATTTTAAATCCCTCTTCCAATTTACAGTGGTAAAACCGATTACGGTATTATGATATTCGCCGATAAGCGATTCTCTCGCCAGGACAAACGATCTCGTTTACCGAAATGGATTCAAGAGCATCTAACCGACAACTATGTCAATTTAAGTACGGAAGAAGCGATGCAAACGGCCAGAAGATGGTTGCGTCAAATGGCGCAGCCATTTTCACGTGAAGATCAACTGGGTGTTTCACTGTTAACACTGCAACAACTTGAGGCGATGGAACGTGAAAAGGCCAAAAACAAAAATATCGAAGGCAATGATTCTGACAAAGCAAATAATGGCAAAGAAGGCAACGGCAAAAATCATGACGATGATGACTACGATGATGATGCCGAAATGATGGAAGTTTAAGACCCATCTGAACACATGTGTTACTCTTTCGAAATAAAAATATTTTATTGTCGTTTCTAATCAATATGCTTTTCTTTTATTAAAAATACCTTTCTTTTCAATAGTCTTTTCCCAACTGATTCAGTTTCTTCTTTCGATAAAACTCCATCAAGTTCACGATTTTTGTATAGAATACTAAAGATTTTTCATAGTTTTTCAGTGTGCTCCATTTGCTTTCTTCAAGGATTATTGACGATATACCCCTGCGTTCCAGATGGCGACTTTGCTTTTTCGCATATCTCATCTTATTTCGGTCTTCCCATTTGCCACTTTCGTCTTCTATGACAATTACACCGATCCTAATTGATGAAATGCATTTTTTTAGTTCAATTTTCGACATTTTCATATTTCAAACTAATGAAATGGGTTTCGCTCAACTGAAAAAAAATTGTACTTACAGCAATTCATTATTCTCCTTACGCCGCACTGATGGCGCTTGAGTGAATGGAAGAAAATCTCCGGACTTTAAATCCATTTTCAAGAGATATGGAATCGTCGATTTACTGTCGATGCGAACATTTGGCCAGATTTTATCGATACCAAACATGCCTTTTAAATCATCATAAAGTGGTGGCTCGCCATCAGTGTCATCACTACTTGAGCTCTCATCATCTGAATCATTACTGGACTCACTCGATGATACATCTTCACGTTCTAGAATTTCTGTTAGTTTATCCAATTTGACGGGGTCATAGCTTTTTTGCTTTTGAAGGTGTTTCGAATTCAAAATATTTCGAATCAGCCGAGTATCGCAATAGCCGAGTTTTTCTAGGTATAAAGCGAATTGAGCCCAATCAAAATTGCCAAAACTAGTCAAATAGATACTGAATTTGAATGTTTTTAATGCTTCAATGATCGTTTTATTCCAATTCGCTGGTTTGTAGTCGGCTTTGACACATGCAGTACAAATTATTATGTAATCCACCACGGTCAAATCTCGCATATCGTCTTTTATCTCGAAAAACTTTGATAAATGCTCGATTAGATCCACACTTACGAAACCCTGGGATGAAAATTGAATTGAGTTTAAAAAATCGATGCAAAAAATTGACTTCTTTCTTTCAACAAGCCACGATTCAAACTTACAATTCGGTTGAAGCTATTTTGAACGCTGAACGATATCTTCTTTTCATTCTGTTGAGTAACGATTTTAATACAGTGACGAATGAACTCCGAATCTTTGAAAATCTCTTTGTCAATTGTGTGACTTTTGGCGGCTAATACTTTCAATAGCACCTGCACTTCGTTTGCAGTTACGGGCGATTGATACCACAGCCCGATCACTTTGTGAAACAATTTCTCAACATGTTCATTCAACTTGCCTAAATTCGATAGAAATATCACCACAGATGTTAGATCCATAACAGTGAACTTATCTTCGTCGACTAAAAGCAATGACGTCGTCAAACTGTTTACAATTTTTGATGGTATAATTTCCGAATTGTTTTCACAATATGCCACAATTTTCATAATTTCTTCAAATTCTTTCATTTCGGCTAGCTCATCCTCGACTTTTGACAGGAACATTGTTTGCAGTGTCAGTCGGAGGATGTTGTAATTTTTGCTCAATTCCGTTACATTGTAGTACTTGTTCAATATAAAATCCACAAACATTATTTGGTCGAATGGTATATACGAGACACGCTTAAGTAGGGCATCAACGATGATATTGCCTAATTTATCGAACATGACTGGTTTCGATGGAATTACAGCAATGAAAACATTTTTCAATTCCTTTGTATTAAGTTGCGGCGATAATATTTCGGTGGCCTCACGAAAAACCGCAAACTTCGGATGTTTTTTCATATCATTCGTGATTAAGTAGTTCCCTTTGATTCTATCGTAAAATTCAACCAACGCTTGAAGACTGACATTCTTTGGATCTGATGGCAACGAATTGAATAATTCAACTAAAGATGCATTTTTGTCGGAGCGGGAGTATTTGGAATCAACACTCTTTTCGGGGATAAATGTTGCCGGTTCAGATGAATCTTCAGGCTCGTCTTCGATTGGCTCAAGCACCGGTATGGACGAATCTTAAATGTGAACGCATTTTAATGAACATTAAAACTGCCTTGAGATCAGAAACATGCAATAGATTTTTAAATACCATCCGATTTGCTGGAACATAGTCGCACCGCCGAATACTGTGCATGTCGCAGGGTGTTTAAATGAGACAATCTACTTAAAAACCGTATCATTTTTTTTCAAACAAAATTTACTGTTGGAAAACGGAGGTTTGAGGAAAAATCAGGTACGAAAACTAAACTAAAACAATGTTTCAATTTTTCAACGTTAACCTAAAACTGATTGAACCAATTGCACAATTCATTTCAAGAATAACCCATTTGACAGTTCAGCTGTCAAATGGCTAAGCACGTGCTGTCATTTGGACTGTCATCCGCAACATTTAAATCATTTTGAGCATGAATTTTTCCCAAACACAATGAAAGCACAATGTTTCCTTTTTATCACCAACAATATCGTTGATTGAACACGTTTTATTTAAACTTCAAACTTATTTCAAATCTAAATCATTTTATTCTTAGTTAACAAGTCAAACGTGGACGATTCTTAGCTTATTCACTGTTTTCGTGTTCGATTATTTATTGCATACAAAATAATTTTGAAGAATGTGAATGCTCTTTTGTACGTTTCCATCGTTCCATAAAGGCTTTCGTCGAGGGTGATTGCAATCCAACCCTTCTCTTTGATAAGTTTTCTCTGCTTATTCAGCTTTTCGGCAAACATTTCAAAATTTTCTTTCATTGCACCGATATCTTGCGTGATTACACCGACTCTGGAATATTGAGAGAGAGAAAATGAATTAGTAAAAGCCCAAAAATGTTTGGATTTTCGAAGATATTCGACAATGATCGAATTTGGCATCCACATGTTAAAAATAAAGTACCATACATCAATTCATTTTTGTTGCAAATTAAATTTTGCCTCTCCGTACGCTCTTTCATGTCCAAAAAGTTGCCCGTTTCCGTATTGACTTTCAAAACTAGTGGAACTGTCAAGTCATCGCTGACGATAACATTATTTAAAACTTTGTTGGCACCAATGAATTTTTCCAAATCCAATGCCAGCCAAGACATATAGGGAGTAACATTCTTCTGTGTTTTTGGCTCAGCCACCTCGAGAGGTGTCCCAATCGAATAGGCTTTATGTACTTCGGCCAGTTTTTTGTTGTTTTTATGCCAATGTGTCAGCTGTGCTGAATTGAAAAAATTTTCAATGAACGCGGCATGTTGAATCCCTAGTTTATGCAAAGTCAACGCCAAATCGACTTGTTTGAAAAAGTTGCTCTCTTGAAGTTTTGCCCGTTTTATCGCTGGAACAACATTCGATTCCCAATTCGTTGGTTTGTAATTGGCTTTCTCACATGCCGTACAAAATATTCCATAATCGTCCACTTCCACGAAAACGTGCTTATTATTCCAATATGTCTTGTTAAAAGCGATCGACACGAAGTCAATCAATTGAGTGCTAGCGAAATTCTGAAAGATTTAAATAAAAATTGAATCTAAAGAAGTCAAATTTAATCGATTCATTGTTTGATACAAACCAATTCATTGTATGCATCTAAAACCGCAAAAGCAGATCTCATGTCTTTCTTTTCGATCGCAATCTGAGTACAACGTTGAAAAAATAGCGGATCATGGAAATGAGATAAGTCCGTATTTTCGGGCTTCTTAGTACACAAGAGTTTGAGGATCCCCTTTACACTTTCGATGTCTTGCTCGTTGCCGCACCAAATTCGATACATTTTCGTTAAAAGTTGCTTTGAATGTTCGTCAAGCTTTGGGAATCTGGCCAATGTTACAATTGTAAAAACAACATCGCTGTCTTGAAATTCTTGATCATCTTCCAACAACAACTGTTTCGATAGACTACTTGTATCGACATATTGCACCAACGACCGATTATTGCCCAAATATCGCATAATTCGCATCAGTTTCTTGTGGCTCAGATTTTCCACTAGTTCTTCGTTCACTTTCGCTACGAATGCAGCACGTGTAGCCTGACGAAATTCTTCGAATAATTTACTTATTTTCCATTCTCTGGCGTAGTATTTGCGCAGCGCAAAATCCACATCAATGATATCATCGACCGTTATGAAGGTAATGTGTCGCAATAAATCTTTTTTAACTAATATATCTTTTACAATAATTTCATTCAATTCGTCGAACATTGGAATTTGTGCCCGAGCAGTTTGCTTGAAAATGTGCAAAACTTGTGATACACTGAGTTTCAGTAGAATACATTCCGTGGCATCGATAAAAGTGTCAAAATTTGCATGCAGTAAAGCCTCATCGTTGATTGGGCCAGCACTCAATTTATCGTATGTCTCGATCAACATTTCTTCGGTAATGTCTTTTGAATCGGCTGGTAACGCTTTGATTATCTCCAATGACCTTCCTCTATCTCGTGCAGGCCTGACACATTTAGCTTTAAAATCAAATTTGTATTCCTTCGTTGGCGTCTTTTTTCTCCGCGGTTTACTATTGAATGTTTGATCTGTTGACGCAGCAGCTTTTCGCTCTACCCACACAGAAAAACAAGAGTGCATTTTTTTTAAATGCAACGCAATTAAAATATAAACAAAATCCATTGAATATTAGCAAATTTGCTTACCAACTATCTTATAGCAAAATGACCGTGAAATATGCTGGAGACATTGTTTTGGTCGGCTCGGAACTCGAGTAATTTGTGTAAAAATATGGAACATTTCTTTAAATTGGAAATTTTTGTTAATTTTCTTAGCCTTTCACAATCAAAACATTGATTGCATGACAATAAATGTCGACTCACTTATGAAAGACTGACACAAGTACGTAGACAGCTGATCTGAACTGTCATTGAGTGTCAATTTCCACGGCTGAAAGAAAATACTGCCAACCTTAGAAACGAATTGAACGATTGGTTCTTGATAAAAGAGAGGTTATCTATTTGAATCGTGTCTTTTCAATTCGTTGGATATTCAAGGAAGAAGTGGCTATAGATCTATGGTTTCAATGGGAAATAAAACAAACGACCATAATTTTATTGCTCATTTTCATTAAATTCAATGCCATTTATTCGAAATCTTGGTATTGTTGATGCTTTTGGGGAATAATAATAGCATATGCATAGCAATAATTGTAAAAATGTATGCGATTACGAATGGTTTGAACTGCTTATTGTTTGCTTCATTTTTTTTGTTTCAATCATTGAATTTTTTTTCTTGTTTTCTTTCACACAAAAAAAGTTCTAGCGATTTTTAGGTACAAATATTTAGTTGGAAATTCAGTGATTGCATAAAAAATTCAGTAGAAATATAGTACTTGAATCGAAGAATTAAATAAACAAACGAAAAGTGAAATAGTCTTCTGTTATTTTTCTTATTGTTGTTGTTGTTGGGAGATTTGCGATATTCTAATAACAAATAGATAGAGGAAAATGTGCAATATTTTTTTTGTTTTGTTTCATTTGTATTGAGCATAGTAAAAGATGTGAATTCGGAAATTCGTGGTGCGAGGTGTTTAGATGTCGTCAATGTCGAGATCGTCGTCTTCTTCATCGCCGGCAGCTGCTTTCTTAACGGCCGGAGCCGGTTTTTCGGCACGCAACGGTTCGACACGGGCACGGTCATTGTATTCGATTTCAAGATCCGAATCGTCCTCCTCTTCGGATGACTCTTCGTCAGCTTCACGCAACCATTGAATGAACGGTTTGGCTTTCTCGTGAATCTTCTCCGACATTTCCTTGGTGACATACTTCTTGCTAACCTTTTCCGACCATTCCAGAATAGATTTTTCTTCCAAAATGTCCGAATCGTAGAACAACTTGAAGATGCCGGCCACTTTATCCAATAGCTTGTCTGCATGCAATGAAATGATCTGCTCGATACCACTGCAAAGAGAAATTGAACATTTTTAAGTCATTTGGTTTCTAAGGGTTTTTCATGTTTCATTCAAGTTCTTCTTGCTCAACTTACCCCAAGAGATAGCGTTGTGCCTTTTGGTTGTCGTGTGTGAAACGCAGCAATAGATTGCGATGCTTCTTCACTTCCGTAATAATGTTAGCGCTGAAAACCAATTCGGCTAAAACCAATGGTGCCTTTTGTGTGATGTCCAAGCGTTCGGCTTCGGTGGCAATTTCCTTGTGCACTTGCACATTATCCAATTGATTGGCATCGCGTCGCTTCTTGACGAATTCGTAGAAAATGTCGATACGTTCTTTTTCGCTTTTCTCCGAATCGTCGGAGATGGTCATCGTCATAGCACCATCGGATAAATCATACATTCGGGCACGCACAGCCTCCTCAGACACATCCGTTGTCCAGGTGGTGTCGTCATCTTCTTCTTCGACAACACTCTTGCTATGGCTGAGCGTTTCCTCACCCGAATTGCTCACAACAGACGTATCACCATCAGCCATTGAATTGTTGGCATCACCATTTTCACCGGTCTTCTTCGAACGCTTGCTGCGCTTTCCTTCAGTCAACGACGAACCTTGCGTAGCCGGGTTAATATTCGGTGGATTCTTGATGATGAAAGTGTTGACCTGTTTGTAAAACCAACAAAAACGGATCGATTAGGATAGAGCTCTTCTTTGCAAACATACATAAAAATGAGTTTAACCCACACGAAATATGCACGTTGACTTCTTCATTCATGAATGATTTCATCAAAATATCAACTGAGTAGTTTGGAGCGAAAATTTAATAGAGAAAAGTTGCGCGGAAAAATGTCACTACAGTTTACTATACAGTATACTATATAGCTATCTCTTTTCCGCTCATTCATCATCGACATTTTTCCGCGCAACTTTTCTGTATTACATTTTCGCCCCAAACTACTCAACTCACCTTGTGGTGCACTTCCAATGGACCGTGAAAGCCGCAAGCCTTGCAGCTTTGGGAAATGGTGCCTTTCTTGGACTGTACCTTCAAGTCAGTTTCGGGATTGTCGCATTCGGGGCACAACACATACTTGCGGATGAAGCCATCCAGTAAATCTTGCAATTTTTCAGGGTCGTGCGAACCGTTGACAATGAAACGTTCATGCTGCATCAAGTAAGAAAAAAGAAATTAGTAAAAAATCTCTTCACATATGGACATTTAAAGCATACATCAGAATGGTTTGAAAAACATAATGATAGACAGATTTTATTTTACCTTGTAATCGAATTGAGTTTGAGCGCCCAATTCGCAGCCGAAGTACTTGGTTGGATAAGTGGCTGGACGTCCAATAGCCTTGGCCACTTCAGCCATATTGACGATGACCGTCTTGATGCCGTTACCTTTGCCCTCGACTTTGGCCGAAATGCGTGGCATTTTGTAACGATAAAAGAGATCGGTCACGTTGCGATTGACGTTAACACTACCCATTTTGATATCTTCAGTTTGTTAACTCAGTTATGGTGTTGATCTTTTCTTTCTCTTTCTCTCACTCTCCGGAACAAATCCTCTCGCTTCCTTACTCACTTGAGCGAATATCTTGAAATCGTTCATAAACTAGCCCAACAATAATGGAAAAAAAACGCGCGGAAATTTTTGACTGCAGATTGTGCATTCACTACTTTTACTTCACCATCAACACGCTACGCAAAATGACCGGATCAAATGCTTTTCATCAGCATGCAATGACGATTGACGTAAAAGGAGTGCGGTGGTGGTGGTTGGTGATTAGTGGTGCTGGTGCTGGTTGAAAGACAAATCGGAAAACGCCGTTGTAACTCGATGTGTGACAAAAATTTTCTGCAAAATTTTCAGTTTTCACGCGAACACACCCGGTGCACTTCGATCGATAAATTCATTTGTATTGAATAGTAGAAAACCCGTTTTACTTCACTATAAAACGATAACGACAATGATGCGGTCCTATGAAATTGGTTATAGTTTTACGTATATTCATGGGAAAGTACTGAATTAATCGGTTCAACGTGGTGGTGATGATGATTTTCACTTTAGACGACTCGTTCGCAGAACTTATTCTGTGTATTATGTGCGGGCGGACGCGTAAACGCTCCTTTTTTATTTCGGTTTATATTATCGAAGAAAATGCAAATTTTTATTGACTGAATATGATTTGAGTGCTGGCTCGTTCAGTATTCACCGACACTTTTGATCCAGCGAATGCTGCAGATTGAATATGGTTGATCAAAAACAGAGAGAAAAAAAATGTTGTATTAAAATAAGTTTAATGTAAATCGCTTTGGGTTATCGGTTACATACTAATGTTTCAATGCAAATGATTATGGTTTCGTGATACTTACGAGTGGTTTATGGATGTAAATCCTGTATTATATGGATTTGCGGTTTTTGCGGTGCACAAAACTGTTGCAGAGTGGTTCACTCGACGTATGTGGATTAATGGTGTGATTTTAACGAAAATTAAGCATTTGATTTTTACGACAAAAATAAAAATCGGGATTTTATAACATAAAAAAACTTATAAGCGACACGAAAAAATTAAATAACGTTTTTTTGTGCAGATTTTTTTTCTGATTTTTTTGTTTTTGATTTGTTGTGTTAAGGAACTAAATTAAAACGAAAATTTCTCGCGGTTCGCGTTCATATAGAACGACGATGACACTTTCTCACGTTTCTCTGAATGGCTGCAATTTTCGGTGTCTATTGCTGGAAAATTTTGAAGTCCTAACGAGCGACGAACAAGGAAAAAACACAACAAAAATGAAACGAAATATTAATGAATACATTTAGACGATTGCTTGAGATGGTTATAATGACGATTGCGATATACACCATACCTATGACTTGAATATTGCCTATGGGAAATCATGCACGATAAATCAACAGACTGGTCGTGTTGAATGGATGATGGAGGTACTCCTTTATATACTGATGCTTCTGTAAATATAACAACCATAACAAGTGGATTATTTTTATCTGCCTGGTACAAAGTTAGTCATTTAAATGATTTATTCAAACGGAATATTGTCGATTATTTCCCCGAGCTACAGATCTCATCATCGTTGGGCTTAACGAGTTCCATATTTAATAGCGGAAAAGAAATCATCAAAAGCCAAAGACTGCTTCGATAGCAACTAAAACAGTTAACCGTCGTCGCAATCTCATCGGGTGACTTATGATTTTTCTGCCAGGTGTAACGCTAATTATATCATTGAAAAGATAAATAATTTGCTGACTCCATGTGACGCTTAACAAACTTTACGGTTCACGAGACACCAAACAACTCTCTACCGTTTGAAAGCATATCGGATATCATCGAATTTATCACTGATTTTATCGTCGTACGAACGAACACACGGCTCACACGACACATTTTTTTTTCTTCTCCTTCTTATTCTTCTGCTGTACAGTATGACATAAAAATCAATCGAATGTGTACTCACATCACTCAACAGTATTCATAATGTCAACACGAAGTGGAAAATTATTCAATGCAAAGTTATTCAATCGATTTGAAAGATTGTTGTTTGCCGGAAACGATGGAGAAATGGGCGATTTTTCGTGTCAACAAATAACATTCAACAAAATAGGGACGAGCAAATGAACATGCACACTTGATAGAGATAACGCACGTAGAAACTCAGATAGGTCTTGTTGTTGTTTACGAAATCAATTTTGATTTTACTCGGTTGTTTAATGTTCCAATGGAAAATGGAACTCTTAATCGTCTCCTCCCAAAAATGGTTCTTGTGAAAGAAAAAAAAACTTCGGCGAAATATTCTCTGTAGTGTTAATGCTATGAAAATATTTTTGCAATATTTGCTGTTGTTATCAAAGTGAGAGAGACAAATAAAATTTGCTCCGTTGATGTGTTGTGTTTTAATTTACTTCGTCAAGATCAATTTAAATTTAATTCAACACTTGTGAACTTTTCCATGCACACACATATCTTTCGGCTGAAACGTATTTTAAGTGCTGAGAAATGGGCCCATATGCACAACTGATGTCAAATGTCTCACTACTGTCACTATGCCGTTGAGTTGGAAATATAGTTTTTGAACGTGTGTCTCCTTCGAAATTCTCTCATGACGTGGTATTTGAAAAAATTCTATCAATCAAAAAACTTTTCACCGAATTTAGTCGCAATATGAGCGCACCCGGTATGCCGCACCGTCGACTTGGATCGACTTGATAAACCACTTTATTTGCAACGCAAAGTAAACATGTGAATACGATAGTCTGTGGTCAAGTACTTCAAATTGAAAATTGATCGGTTCCAAAGCAAAATTTCGATTTTAATATTTCGTTTGAAAATGTCAAACTAACGCTAACTAATTGCATTTGCTTTCGTAGTGTGGCCTACACCATATCAAACTCGCACTGACATTTGATTGGCAATGAAGGAAGATAAAAATAAAAATTTATGCACCCGATATTTGTCACGGTATTATAGTAGAATTAGCACAACGTATTGAAAATACCGGTTGTTCGCTAGTTCGAGACACACGGTAGTGAACCGTATATTGGAACATGAATTGCGGAAAATGTGAATTTTCTCGAAAAATTCCGGTTGGAATGGAGTGATGTTACGGGCGCAGTGCGCACAATCGTCGACACAGAGTGAAACGTCATCAACAGAAAACACATTTGTAACACTCACGTAATTTATTCTTGTGTATGGGTTTTAAAGCCCGTTTTTTTCGCAATAGCAAATGATTTTAGCGGTTCCGTAAACAGAAGCTCATTCTTTTTTCCTCTTGACGAAGACCAATTTCCAAATGGATATGTGTACACTCGGAAATGCTTTCGATCCATTATGAAAATGATTTTTTTTCTCATATGATGAGCACTTTTATATGATTCAGAGGATACATACGACGAATCATTATCGCGGAAAAATTGAGCCGAAAAAAAGAACAAATAAAATTAAGCATCATTCTCGTGAAACTATGTGGATGGAATGTGTTTGGCGGCTGCATTGTGGCGAGAGAAAGCACAGCCCGTTTGTACAGTCTAATTTTGAAATTCAAGTGCCGAAAGTGATGTGTCAACTGTTTTACACGTTTCCATACTGTTTCGCTTTACTTTTTTTTTGTAAATTTTTGTTTCACTCTCTGGCAATGTTTGCACGTCGAAGAAATTTATTCCACAATTAAATCGATAAAATGAAATTTATTGGTGGCGAATGTCGACACTCGTACGAGTAAAAAAAACGTGGTGTATTGAGACAGTACACACAGTTTGAATAAAGTTGAAGACAGATTTCAGTTTGCTATAAAACTGACTGGCTCGCTCGTTATCACTGTCATGAATATTCACTTGACTTTTTTCCCAATCGGTGCCGCGTCATTCGGCCGCTATTTATTTGTCAGCGTTTCGCTTTTGCTGTTTACTTTTGATAATAAATATTTTTTTTTCGTCGATTTGAAATTCTGTGTACAATTCTCGCTCGATGCGTTTTCAACTTCATGGAATTGGAAATTTATGTGTTTGTTTGAATAAAGTTCTATTTGAATAGGACGAAAATGTGTTTATAAATTAGAGGGGAAAAAATATACCCGAACGAATTTCAGCGAAAGATTGATTCCGAATGATATTTGCTGAAGAGTCAGCAAATCCAGTTGTTTTATGTGACTCGATCGCGAATCGATTGATATCGAAATCAATTTAATTTTCAAAGTAAACACTCGAACGGCAGAAATCAAATGGAGAAACGAATGATTTGTTTTCCCTCCTTCTCCTCCTCCTCCTCCTCATCGTCATCAATTTTGTTGTGATTTTTTTTCGCTGATGACCTTTACGGCAGCTCTAAACGGTTATATTAAGCTCGAATTGTGATTTTATCCCATTTTTAGTTGGTCTTTTGTTTCTATTTTGTTCGCTCGGCCGATTGCAACATGTATATCGATGAGTTACAACATACATTTCCTCTCTCTCTCTCTCTGTGTGTGTATGGTCACATAGAGCAGAGTGATTGTCGTGTGGCGAATGCAATTGCCACTGAAAAATCAAGTGACGTTGAATCACGAAAAATGTGAGTGTGTGTGTGCAAAATCAGAAGCAAGTAATAAGAAACATTTACACAGTCACTCGAAAAAAAAGAAACAAAAACAAAGAACGAACCATTAAAAGGGACCCGCGCGAACAACACAACTCGTAAAAATAATACATACAACACACAATCCACGAAATGCATGCGAATAACAATAAGGCAACGCTAGAAAGAAAGAGAGCAGGCGACGTGACTCTCTGACGATGGATTTTTTTTTGCTTCATTTTTCGCCGCACGATGAGATAATACACGTTTTTACGTTCACACACAGTGAATAAACGAAAAAAACGAGCGAACGTACTGAAGCCATAACCAGTTTTCAACTTGTGTTGGCATATATTTTTCTCGTTTTTTTTTCGATTCGTCGTGCAAACTTTTGTTTTGTCTATCTCTCTGCGAATGCAAATGCAAACGAAATTTCATCAAAAAAGACACAGACAAAAAAATCCGAACATTTTATCGAACAATAAAAAGTCGCCTGCGGTAGCGACCGTCGTTCAAATTCAATTTTCAACGAGATTTTCGAGATAAACATTTCAGTTTCGTCCAGATGAAATGCGGCTCAAATTTGATTCTAGTCCAATTCGGTTGAACCTTTGAGTATCACTTTACGGTTTCCTCTATCGCTTGTTTCGACGAAATTCGAAACGCGAATGTGGTGGTGTGCTGGGTTTATTTGAACAATGGCAAAATCGTAAATATTGATAGAAAGAAAGCAAGCGACAAAGTAACAATATTCACAATTATCAGTATTCAAAACGTGCACCGACATAGATAGATAGATATTGAGCATGTATATTTCGAGTAAACGGAACTCATGTTTGGGCACATGAAATGATGAAGAGATTCAACCGATGTTGGTTTGATGATAACATGAGCCCCACAAAAAATAATCATGGTGACATTCGCATCGGAATGAGTGAAATGTGGCGGTTTAATACTTCGACAGAGAGAAATTAGAGTATTAAATAAGTTAGCAGTAGCAGCAGAAGTCACAAATAATTGCTGCGTGTCACATATGTTCAATCGTCCATCTGACCGACGTTGATGATATAATCGATAGGACTGAATTGGAGCAGAAGAAGAAATTCAGCGAATGGTATCCATTTTCAATGGTGGATATTGATGTAAAATTCATGAAAACCAACCGAACCGCACAACACAACTACGATTGACTCGGCCATCAGCTCAAACCATCAGGCAGAGCCATGTGCGATCGATTGAATGTGATGTGATAATAAAACATAATTAGAATTGATGGAGTAGAGCGAATGCCGCCTTTCTTACTCACCATTCAAATGTCATAATTAATTGGCATCGACACACTAGAATCGAATCGACACGCGGAACAAAATTCTCTCTACAGTGTAGAGAGTCTACAGTCTACACTCAATTCAAACTCAACTGTTCGCTTATCTCGGTTTCGGTGTCTAAAGATTCCATGCAAAAATGGAACGATTACAGTAAAACAAAAGAAAACATATCATACGCTGTATAAACATAACCCCTTTCTTATTCAAACACACACACACACACACAATATGCATGATCATACAGCATTGTCTTGGCTCAATTGTGCACATTCAATAGCGATTCATTTTGATTTTATTATGATTTATTGCCCGAGGCATATCAATTTGCTAATCAAAATATATAAATCAGAGGCATACACTTACCTTTAATGCTTTCAAAAGTCATATAAAACGGGGTATTGCCAATCTCGGCGGTCAGCAAAGCAAATAAATAAAATCAAAAAGAACTCGGCTCACTTGACGGCTCACTGAACGAAAATTCAATTGCTCTCTCTGTGTCGTTGCTGAAATGAATACGAAAATAATGAACACAATTGAGAACGAAAGAGTTTTGAACAAAAAAAAAGAAAACGTTGAATAAGATTAGAACGGTATTTTGAGGAAGAGTCAAACGAAGACGTTGCACCAAATCCAAATGCATTCAAACGGGCAATGTGCAATTTTATGCATCAATGGGTCGCGCCACGCACTGCCTCGAATCGATGTGAAAGCGGGCGCTCGCACACACAAACGTACGTATGAAACGGACCAAAGCAGTGCGAAGCTCGTGAAAATGAGTTTAAATAAAGTTAACATCGACATTCATTGGGCAATTAACGGGGCCGAATATCTCGCGTCGAGGCTAATTTTAACAGATATATTCCAAATCGGTCTGTCGGATGGGAAGATAAAGGGATAGAGAAAAAAATTGGCCTCCTTTTTACTCTGATGGTTATTGGGCATTAATTTCAGCGAGACAGTTTGAACCGACTTGATTCGTGTGGTTTATATCAATTAAAAAAAAGGTATCAAAATGTGGAATGTACACATGAGGTATGCCACGGTGGCGAGCGAGACGAAAAGTTCACGTGAATGAAAAAAAAACAACAACGCTGGCAGCAGAAAAGAAGAAAAACGAACAGGGAAAATGCGAGTTGTGCAAAATTCTGCACCGTACACTTCTGCGACTTCAGCCACTGCGTCTAAACGTAGATTTTATATATATATATATATTGTTCATTGCTAATGCTCTTATTATGCGGATAGAATGAAAGAAAAAATAACCACACTCTATGGCAATCGTAGTAATTGCAACAACAATGAAATTGGTTTTTTTTAACAATTGAAAAGTGTCCGAGAGAATAGAGTGAGAGCGCGCACAAACACACACGATCCAACCGATTGAACGAAACGGCAACAATCGCGAAGCAAATAGAATGAGAAGCGAAGAGAGAGAGAAAAAAAAATATATTCCATACAGATATATAACACACACGACGAGAAATGCGAAAAACCGAAAATGACATAGAGACAAAAGAGAAATGATTCGATATGGGCCTTTTTTTCAGGCGAAAACACGCGAGATTCACGCAATGACAGTCGTCATTTTGCCAACAATTATTCACTCGATTCTAATTAATACCAACAACACTATGCATAATCAATCGATTGCCGTGCAAAAGTCGATAAAAAATCGATCGATTCAATCGGAATGCAAATGCATTTTTGTACAGAGATATAGTAAGTGCGAACAAATAAAGTGCGAACAAATAAAGTGCGTTTTATACGAACCACACTACTGCAAATGACAACTTGAACTGAATGAAAAAAAAATTGATGTATATTCCTTCTTATGGTCGCATTGATGTACGATGTTCACACGCATTCGGAGCAATATTGATGCGATGGCAACGACATCTGTTGAGACGATTTTCAGTTTGAGGCGCTTTCATCGGTCAGATTCGATTTAAATTGAAAATGAACTTATTGTTGTTTCATTTTGTGTGGTTTTGTACATAGAGAGAGAAAATATTTTATCCAAATAATCAAAATGGTATAAATCTGATAAAAATTCTATTTCTAAATACAAAAAGCTTTTGTAAAACATGATAAACTCAGAGATGACTTTACCATTTTGGTCAAAAAAAACTTTGTATCGATATTTTGTGTAACATAACAAAAAACAGTTTTTGGAAAACCACATTTATGGGGAATCCAAACATCAATTGTCGGAATGTTGGTGAATGTGCATCTCTTATTTTTTCCTGTATAAAGGCAAGCACTCCATCCATTACTAAAAATCGAAAAAGCAGCGCTGAATTTTGTAACGTTTACAGAACATCAGCCCTAATACCATTACAGACAACGGTTTGGCGGATTTAAAAATCATTTGAATCGGATAGGTAACATATCTTAACGCCATATAACCACTGACCATCGCTATTGAACCCGTCATTCCTGCACTTGCATAGCAAAACCACCGTGTTGTATCCTTTCTTTTCTCCGAATTCGTTAAATTTAAAGCTAAAGTAAGGTGATAAAAAGTTGAAGGAAAATCAGTGAGCTTTAACGTTCATAAACATTTTCCGTCTAGATGGAATTGTGAAAGAATGGATCGTTTGAAAATGAATCGTTTTTACTACACCGTTACATACATTGTACAATAATTAAGCCACAAAAACACTTGACCAGCACCAATGTCATGGCGTACGTAAATCGTTCACCGTGTTTACAATTGTCACTGGTATCACTGCCTTAGCAACCTCTCATAATCATTTCTTGGAGTATTCCAACGGCAAAAAATGAACAAAATATGCCCAGGGCGATGATAATGAAGGTGATTCGACTATTTGAGCTGTAGCATTTTTTCAATGCATTCCCAATAACATTTTCACTTGAACTTGGGTCCCTATAATTGGACATGTTTGCAGTACTAAGTCGATGTTTACAGTAGCGTGTCTCAATTTAATCTGACTAATTCGAACAATTTGTAGATTTTAGTTTTTTAAATCGATATTTATAAGCAGTCTATTTTGGTCATCAAACAAGTAATACCGCAATTATATCAGTCGCTTTCAATACCAGAAATGGGTCCGGAAAACCATGGCAAAACCGGCCTGATTCTGGAGAACCAGAGGAAATACAATGATGAGTTTTTGAAATTAAAGTACGTTAACATCAATGGGAATCATCAATCAAATGAAAATAACAAACTAAATCTAGATTCTAGTAATTGGATAAGTAATTCCATAACAATGATCCGATAAATCGCGGTTTGAAAGATGTCGAATTATCACTACCAAAATAGCGCTCATTTCTGGTTGTGGAACACACTATGTCACCAGTTGTGAGACACTTGTTTTTCCATTTGAAGCGTCAAATATTGTCATTTGTTTTAGAATATAGCGTTTAAATACAGTTTAATTGGTATATTTTGTATTTCTCAAGCCATGCCACCCCAAAAAAACAGACCCAATCCCTAGGAAACTGGAAACTGGAAACTTGGTCAAAATTGATAAAATGGCCATATCTTGATCAAATGATGATCGGTTTTGATATTCTATACCAGAAATAACATGTACTTTTCGAATTCTTTCCAACGATCTTCATTGCTTTGTTATAGAAACAAGTTCTGTACGAAATCGATGGGGAAATGTATATGGGCACACATGCACCGGTTTCACGTATAGCGCATCTCACATGTTTATGCGCATATGTGATAAAATATTGTGCGTATATCAGTATGTTAGCGTGATTTATATAGCCAAATGATCAATGATTTGAACCATAGTTGTTTCATTCATTATTGAAATATAAGCATTGAAAGCTGGTCTTGGTCTGAAGATGGAGAGGAAGATGATGAATTAAAAATGTCCATTCTTATTGGGTCAATTCGAAATTTTCCGCCGCTGACATTTAAATGTCGCCACTTGTAACTGAGCGTAGCTTGACAAGTGAATCCAATTGCATTTTGTAGATGTGACATTTAGCAATCTAACTCAGAGCAGAAAGATTCATTTTTCGTTCTGCGTCATTGTTTTTGAATCGATTGAAAATGGATCGTCATAAGGTGTTTTTTCGAGGGGCCCTTCTTTTCTTATTTGATTCGAAGAAAACTGCGGCTGAAGCTCATCGAATGCTGTCAGATACTTATGGCGAGCAAGCTCCATCGGAACGAAGCTGCAGAGAATGGTTTCATCGATTCAAAGGTGGTGATTTTGACTTGAAAGACAAAGAACGTTCAGGTCGGCCAGAAGCGATTGAAGATGTCGATTTGCAAGCATTATTGGATGAAGACCCAACCCAAAGGCAAAAAGAACTTGCATTGCAGTTAAACGTCGGCCAAACAACCATTTTCAGACATTTGCACGCCATGGGAAAAATTCGGAAGCTGGGAAAATGGGTTCCACATCAACTGTCTGAAGAGCAACTTCAAGCACGAATCGCAATATACACAAAACATCTTGCAGAGCACAAAAGAAACACTTTTTTGTATCGGATTGTTACCGGCGATGAAAATTGGGTTCATTACGAAAATCCCAAGCGTAAAGAAGCGTATGTTGATCCCGGCCAACCGGCGCCATCCCAGCCAAAACGAGATATTCATTGCGATAAGGTTATGCTGTGCATCTGGTGGGATATGAAAGGAGTCGTGTATTATGAGCTGCTAAAACCAGATCAAACGATTAATAAGGAACGCTATCGACGCTAATTGAATGATTTGGCTCATGCATTGGATGAAAAACGGCCATTAATAGCTCGAAAACACCACAATGTTTTGTTCCACGATGACAACGCTAAGCCACATCGTGCAACAATCGTTAAAAATAAGGTAGAGCAGCTCGGTTGGGATCGGCTTGATCAGCCCGCGTACTCTCCAGACCTTGCTCCTTGCGACTACTATCTATTTCGATCGATGCGGATTGCCCTGTCTGAAGTACGCTTTCAAAATGAGGAAGAAGTGCGAAAATGGGTTGATGACTACATAACCTCAAAAGACGAGGACTTCTTCAAGCGAGGAATCCACAAGCTGCCAGAAAGATGGCGGGAAGTCATGGCTAACGATGGCGAATACATTGGTTAATGTACATTTTCAATTTATTTTGCAATAAATGTATTTTTAGACAAAAAAAACGGCGGAAACTTTCGAATTGACCCAATACAATCTTTTCAACTATTCTTCTAAACCGTTTAGCCATTGAAGGCCTTCAATACAAATGACGATTCATATTTCCGAACAGTTATGGGGTTTTTACTTCATATTTTTCCAATTTTATTGGATTTTTTAAGGTGTCTCACAACTGGTGATAGTTTTTTTTTGACTTTTTTAGCATACTCAGAAAATTGGTCACAATCATTTTCGTGGCGATGCAATCACTTTACTTTCTTCGAATAAAAGTTGCGTAATGAGATTACCTTTCCAACGGTACATAGAACTCCTGATTTTATCGGACCAGTAAAAATTTATAGCTCAAAAACAAAACCCGTATTATACTCGGTACATCTCCCTTACGCTATGTACACTAGGGTGTTTTCGGTATTAAATAAACAGAAAATGGTAGTTTTAGTTTGATAGAGCAGAGAATTTGGAATCGATTTCATATATTTTTGTTCGGAATCAGTCCAAGATGCCACTTCCCACAAGCAAAACAAATGTTCGTCGAATTTTGAGGTTATATCACTATTCGCTGAAACTAATCTGATATTTTCCACTTTTTTCGATTCAATCTCACTGCCAGAGATGAATTCTCAATGCAAATATTTATTTTCACGTAATTTTCATTGGAGAAAGTGGCCAAATAGTGGAAAATTCACACAAATTGTATTGCCTCTTTGACCGGTTCTTCAATCATAGAAAAAACGCCGACAAACTAATTTTTTTCACAAAAATTCATTCAATGGGCTTGAAATAGACGATAAATTATCTAAATCATCTAAAATATCCAATCGAACAAAACCAGGAAGGCCAAATTGCAGCAAAACCAAAACGTAAACAAAAACGAGCTATCATTATGAAATTTGGGCTTAGTTTGATGTTTGACAAGACCAAAATACATCTGCGCGAATCACTGTGCGCGAATTGACTGTGATTCATTCGCACAAGTGCATTGGTAGCCCTTCAAAATGTCAAAGAAGCCCAGATTTCATGATGACAGCTCGTTTTTGTTTACGTTTTGGCTTTGCTGCAATTTGGCCTTCCTGGTTTTGTTCGATTGGATATTTTAGATGATTTAGATAATTTATCGTCTATTTCAAGCCCATTGAATGAATTTTTGTGAAAAAAATTAGTTTGTCGGCGTTTTTTCTATGATTGAAGAACCGGTCAAAGAGGCAATACAATTTGTGTGAATTTTCCACTATTTGGCCACTTTCTCCAATGAAAATTACGTGAAAATAAATATTTGCATTGAGAATTCATCTCTGGCAGTGAGATTGAATCGAAAAAAGTGGAAAATATCAGATTAGTTTCAGCGAATAGTGATATAACCTCAAAATTCGACGAACATTTGTTTTGCTTGTGGGAAGTGGCATCTTGGACTGATTCCGAACAAAAATATATGAAATCGATTCCAAATTCTCTGCTCTATCAAACTAAAACTACCATTTTCTGTTTATTTAATACCGAAAACACCCTAATGTACACTCTGTGCAATGCGAATAGACAAAATGAGGCCGGAACGAACTCATAAGCGGAACGAACCCACATATGCCCTACCATCGCACCCTTTGCGTTATTTGCATAAAACAAAATTTGTATAAAAGCAGACGATCAGCCTTCGAAAACCGGTACTCACTCAATGGTCTAACAAACCTTTGGTTTAAAAGCAAAATAAAATAACAAACAAACTAACTAAGAAAAATCTTGTTCAATTTCTGAGTCTTCGATCAACAGAAGTATTTTTCAGCTATCTAAACAGCCGATTTTATCTTTTCCAATCGATATTTATTAGCAGTCTATTTTGGTCATCAAACAAGTGATACCGCCATTATATCAGTCGTTGACCATACCAAGACCAAAAAAACGAAAAAAGCCTAGATAATCGCCACATTTCAAGACAAATTCGGTGTTCAAATATCTTCAATTGTTCAGACAATACTCGGTGCTCGTCTAGAATTTAGGTAAATCTCTGACCGAAAATTATGGCCTAGCCTTAGACTCAATCAACATTTGATAAGTGCTTATCTAGCACTAATTTTTCATTCAGTAATAGGTTGAAGTAGAATCGCACGAAAAATAGCACACTGAAGTGTGCCATGAGACAGGCAATAAAAAGAATCCCAGTTTCTGAGATTTATAGGGGAATTTTCGGTGAGATGATTTATACATTAAAGATTATCTTGACTCTTTTTTTATTTTCGTTTCTACTTTTGAACCGAAGAAATATTCCAAATATTGGGCATGACGATGCATGAATATGGATTTTCCGATCTCAGTTGGGGATTAACCACAAAGTACTTTTTAATCTTTGGGTTTTTTACAGAATTAACTCGACTCCTCTGGATCAATCAAAATTATACTTGATCCAGCACTCAATCGGCCAGTTTTGCTCTGATTTGATTCAAGTATACCGTGCAACACATGTTTCTGCACATGAGAAATTCCGATTGTTTGTTTTAGAGGACCAAAAACCAAGCACTTTTGCATCATTAGTTTGTTCGAAACCACGTCTAGATTTTTTTTTTATCGACACATATAACCCAAATTTCAGGTCAAAATGAGCAAATCACAAACATGAGCTTCGATTTGACAGGTAAAGGCAAATGATTTTTACCTTTTCTGCCTTTGAACATCTAGTATGATCCTTTTCAAACATTTTGGGTACTTACATGACCAAATCGAGTGATGTTTTCACATATTTCTGGCCGCATATTTGGTTGGTTCGATTTCAACTCTAAAAGAATCGACTTTTGGCCAAAAATCCTTAAATATAGGCTTTTCAGGGATAGTATCTTAGCGCAAAGTTATTTTTTCTCGAAAATATGGGGAGTCTACCCAGACAAAAACTCTCAAAATTGACTTTTCGAGGTACCTCCCAAACAAAAGTTACGTTTTTCATACATTTTGCTATGAAAATATCATTTTTTGTTCGAGTTTCGAACAAACTAATGATGCAAAAGTGCTTGGTTTTTGGTCCTCTAAAACAAGCAATCAGAATTTCTCATGTGCAGAAGAAAAAGTTGAAATTTGTTACACGGTGGTATCAATATCAAAATTAATTGTAGTTATCATATCACGTTAATCATTGGGATAAGTGGTTTATACCATTTAACTCACCTCATATCAGTAGATATTGGAACACTTGTAAATCAGAGTTGAGAACGATTTTAATTCTAAATATTTCATTTTATTATTAACTTTTTTTTCATTTTTCGTCCATTTTTTCAGCTTATGAATAATAAAAATATATATTTATAGAATAAATATAAAGTATTAGAAGATTATGAAGTACGTTTAATTTTTGCTAATTTCTTGAATTGTGTGATTGTCTTTTTTGATATCAGCTTCTTCTACTTTGTCGTTGTTTTCAGCTTTTTCAACGTCTGCATCAGCTGTTTCTCCTTTCGCGACCTTTCTCTTTTTCTTGCCAAAGGCGGCATCAGCAAGTAAACCTGAGAATACCAAAGCGGCACCGATCCATTGCAACGGCGTCGATGGATTTCCAAAGAAAATTATTGAGAATATGACGGAGAAGAATTTCCGAACGGTTCCAGTAACTGAACAGGCCAAGGCGCCGAAACATGAGATCATCGTGAAAATGAACATATTGCCAACGGCATCAGCAAGACCCAATGTGACCAAGTGCCAAATGACTTTCGGATGACGACCAATGAATGGGATGACTTCCAAAAATTCACGAGTTACTAAAATAGAAACCAAAAGGATTCCACAGACCCAAAGACACATGTTAAACATCAATTGTCGGAATGTTGGACGCGAAACGGCTCGCATTTTATCTTGGATAGCACCAAGCACACCGTCCATGGTCAAACTGAAGCACAACAAACCGGTTCCCAATATTTGAATCATAGTCGCCGTATATTCACCGTCACTTTCGCTGTCGACGCTTCGTTTTTCGACTTGTTCTGCTTTCGGCTCTTTTGCCTCAAAGAACTTGAATACAATCACACCCGTCACAATGATCAATACGAAGAAGTATCGCTGGATGGTGTATTTTTTACAGAACATCAAGCCCAACACCATCACGGACAGCGGCTTGGCCGATTTGAATATGACCTGCATTGGATAGCTGCACCATCGAAGTGCCATATTCGAACTGACCATGGACAACGAATTTGCCACTGCTGTACTGGCATAGTACAACCAGTGGGTTGTGTCTTTATTCTTCTCAGGTCGTATCCAATTTAAAACTGAAAATGACAGAAAAACATAGTTCATTTTTTCATTAGAACACATAGGTTTGATTTGAGAAAAAATGTTGTTTGACTTGGGAATTAAAAATCGCAACTTGACTTAAATGTCAAGCAAATAGCATTCGCACTCTCAGAATTGTGCGTTTGATATGTTAAATTATTGGCATTTATGTGAAGTTTACACCTGCACTGTTTTATGCAATTAACTAATCATGTACCTTGAATAAACACTAAGCCACAGAAACTCTTTATGAAGACGAGTGTAACAGCGAATTTGAATTTTTCTCCCGTTTCACAATTTTTGTCGTTCTCTTCACCACCATAACAACCTAAAGAATACACAGAAAAACCATTTTAATGACAAAAATATACCGAAAAACCACTGCAAACATTCATTCACAAACCTCTCATAATCGTTTCTTGGAATACACCAACGTACACAAATGACACCAAAATGCCCAAAGCAACAAACAGAAATTTAATTTTTCCATTGCTGGTCCAGATATTTTTAACTACGCCGAAAATATTAACAGTCATTTTGAATCGAAAGAATTAATCACTTTTCACTTTCCAAAGCGTTCACTTTATTCTCTATTTTTCTCCTAGCTGTTTTAACGGTAGCACGTTCGAACACAATCTGACTGTCGACTGAATGAAGCGATGACATTTATAACGGAACTTTCGTAGGTAATGTGAAGTTATCTCTGCATCTCGTACTCGGCCTAATCCATTCAACAGAATGAAAATTTGTAGATGAAAGTGATAATGCTACTTGAATACGCTCATGTTAAAAGATACGAACGCTATCAGCCATTGGCCACACCAAAAATTGTGTATATTTGTATTGGAAAGTTTATCATCGCAATTTTTCACATTTTAAAATGACAAGAGGTAAATTTCAACAAGCCTTATTACAATAATGTTTCAGTGGCTGAGGCAATATTCACACAAATCAAAGTAATCACATAAACAAAAACAATGGCTTAGATTTTATCATAAATTCTCTTGATAAAGGACTATCTACATGAGTGATTACACAAGAAAAGTGGCACGACGAAAAAGCTTCAGACGATTTGAAGTGTATTTTGATTTGACCGGTAAAACATTGAATTACATCCTGTACACACATTGGCACAAGTTTCCTGTCTCGAAAATCCAAGCCACGTCGTAACTAAATGATCTATTTGAACAATAATACAATCGATCAAAGTGACTTTGTAGGGAACAATAATAACATTTCGTGGAATCGAATGATCTAATTTAAAATTTGAATGGGATATTCCACTGGTCTGATCAAGATTCATTATCTCAGTAAACAAAACAAACGAACGTTTTATCTAATGGTAATTACAGGAATTTTGAATCTCGGTCTTTGTGTTAAGACGCTTTTTAAAAATGGGTTGCACATATCGGTGAAATCTGTATTTTATTTTTATTTGGTTATTGTCTCGAGAATGCGAACAGCTCAGAATTCAACGGTCTGAATTTTTGTTACAAAACACTACATAATTTACAAGTGTTCATAAATAAGTGTTAACTAATAGACTCCTTTTTTCCAACGACCAACGAAAAAAATTACTTTTATTTCAATATTTTTTTATAAAGTTAATCGATTGTCAAGAATTTGATTTCTTACTCAAACTTCGTAAATTTTCGTCGTCATTCGAAGCAAACTATTTATTATTGACGCACCAAACTTAATGGAGGCAATTTGGAAATTTTCTCGTCGGTTGACAACATTCTGTGATTTGGTAGCGATTTGCGTCGTTCATGCAAATTTGCGGTAACTGAGTGAACTTTGTGTATTGTTTTTACCAGAAGATCACAACGACCGAGTAAACGCTTGAAAAATATTTGACAAATATCAAATAAAATGTTCATTGTTCTTTCTGCAAATGGTATTAAAAGCCTATACATTTGAGCATTTCTGTTTATCCTAAAACATGATTCTTACAATTATAATTTACAACTGTGTTTTCTTATGCATAAGAGATAGACTCGTGTATGCACCGAAAAACAATGGTATTTACATTTTTTTTCAACTGGTTCATTTCTCACACTTTTTTTTATCTTGATGTTTATTTACACCGATTTTTCGAGCGAGGTTGTGTAAAGTGATGTGGTTAAACATATTCAGTATATAAATAACAAGTTTATAAATCTGCAAGATTTATCACAAACATATGGCACCTGAAAGTAAATATATGATGAGAAAAAAAATAGAAAAACATTCCATACGCATCAGATGACAAAATTACATTCTCATAAATATGAATTGTGATTCACATTTTTTGGTAAGGTGGAAAGTATCGTCAACCCAAATTTAATCAAACAAAAATTCACATACTTACAGTGCATGAATAAAATTGACGTCATTGCAGAATCCTTTTCGAGGAAAAGTATTACTGGTTTTATCATATCATTTATTTACCGTCATAATTTCTCTTTTATTTTGTCAACAAAGGAATGTTCCACTGCGTCTGTACTTCGTAACCGTTCGTAACAATACTATTTTCGGTAAATAACAATGATTTTTAAGAAATAGAACAAGCTTGGAGAAAACAAATCATTTTAATGATACAAAGTCAAATGCGATTGGTAAAATTGAAAGAGTAAAGGTCGAAAACAATTATTTCAACAGATTTTGATTATTTTTTAGATTAGAAGATTCAAAAAGTCCAAAGTGCTCAATGTGCTCAAATTTGAAAGAATTTAAGGAAGTTTCTTGTTGAAAACCCTCAAATCTTACACACTTTTAACCCAAATCTATGTCGCTGGTCATGACTTAAAGATACGAAAATTTTCGGCTTGAAATGTTTCAAAGACCGTGATGGCCATGTGTTGATATCGGCTATCAGCTGATTACTGAACCAAAAAAAAAAACCTGAACATACGGAAGAACGTGTTTCTTTAAGTCAAGAAAAAAAAGAACTTTCGAATTTTGACAAGAAGCTAGTTGCTACGAAATATAAGACAGATATTGATACAGACAGAGACTTTGGAATCGATCAAAGAGTTCGATATTTTAAAATCCACTTGAAATTTCAGATTTTCTAATTCAAGTGCTTTAAATTAAAAAAAAAATGTATTGAGTATTGAGTTATGTGATTAAAAAACCTGATCATTCACCCCATATTGTACTGTTTCATAGAAAAAGTCTGTATCAGTGCACATTCGTTAAATAAAAAACCAAAATATTATTACCATAATCCATTCGTATAATTAAAGGATGTACAACAATTAGTTGAAATAATAGAATGACCACTGGCCATACAGCTGTTGAATGTAAATTTCGAATCTTTTTTACCAATGAAGAATGAAGAATAAAATGGAATGACGCTGATTCGCACTGACTCACTGATTTCGATGGTCAACAAACCAATAAATGCGTTTGATATTTAAAACGGATGAAACCCGACGAGAAATTTGCGGTAAAATAGGTGTACGCCGACACTCCGTCGCATATCCGCGGATACTCGCAATGCGAATAGGAATCCACAATAAAAGTTGCCGCAAAATGTTATCGCTGAATACCCTGCGAATATTCGCGCTGCGAACAACAGTACAGTCCCAACCTGAAGTTGGCTGCGCATGACATTTCAGAGTATTCGCATGGTACTCGCCAGCTATCCGCAGTGCGATTATTCGCAAATTTCTTGTCGGGAAAGAATACATACGGCACAATTTTATTTACTATCTAGAATATAAACACATAGTTATGTATACAAAATTTTATTTATACAATTTGGGATTAGTTCTAGCAAAGGGGTATATGAATGTCCGAGAATGAAAACGCAACTTCATTTCATTCAACATTTGGTCTATTTTGGGGAATTGTATGGGTTAGCACCTCCAGGTATTGGCGCATAATACTGATATTGTTGTTGGAGATGTGGATTGCTATTAAAACGATTTTCCTGGTAATTCGTATAGTAATCAAAGGCACTTCGCAAAATTGCCAAGGCAAACATAAGGCATACATAGCACAGAATTTTAAATAATTTCTCGCTCATCATTGACTTTTTTCCCGAACTGTTCTCAGCACTTGTTTGTGTTGTTGGATTTATATCACTTGTCTGCGTCGGATTCGCAGCATTTGTTTGGGTAGCAGGCTGTGATACAGTCTCATCTGTAATATCAATAGTTGATTCCAAGTCTTTGGATGTTTTCTCAAAAACTGCTTTTAGTTTCGGCATTGCAATAGCCACCGCATCATCGAGTATTTCCTCCATTTTATCGTGATTCAAATCGACCACTTCATTAATCTCTTTTATGAGAAAAATACTTTATCCAACTATTTATACACTTTATTTGTCAATTCAATTTAGTTTGAATTGTGAATTTGACTCGTAACAAACTGTATTGGTAATTAGGATAATCTACATAGAAAAAGGGAAATTAATATAATAAATATAATAAACATAAACAATTTACTACTGTTCCGAAGAAATCTATTCTACTACTGATGCAGTGATCACATCGATTTATATTTTGAAAAGGCGAGTATGATTTCTGTTGGCGTTAAAGTAGAGTATGTTGTAGTACCGTCTAGCCTCCGCGGTCTTCACGGTTTTCGCGCAACTGATAAAAGATAACAACATGGTGTCTTCGGCAAAGTTGTAGTACTTGAGGTCTTCTATAACTAAGCTGAAGACAGTTATCTCTTATCTCTTATCAGTTGCGCGCAAATCGCGCACATAAAAAAGCAAATTTTATATAGAACTTTTTTTTTCTTATCATTTTTCGCGCTTTTCGCGGAACTGATAAGAGATAAGAGATAACTGTCTTCAGCGATGTTATAGAAGATCTCGAGTGCTACAACTTTGCCGAAGACACCAAGTTGTTATCTCTTATCAGTTCCGCGGGAACCGTGAAAAACCGCGAGGACCCGATAAAAACGAACATACTCGCTTTTAACCATTTTTAAGTCGACAGAAACTTGCTCTTCTCTTTCGTAACAAAGTCAATCAAACATACACTACTCTCAAACTCACCCATAGATATATAGAATATATTCACAAAGTCAACAAATTTCTTCTCAATCATTCTACTATCGTTGATGTACTATATGCTCTGTGATATGTGTATAACTAGCGAGTTGATAGTTTTTTTCAGTTTATCATTTGATTCAAAGATTTTGTTTCTATTACTAACCTACGTCGAATGAGATACAGGTACTTCATGGAACGAAGCAACGGACTCAGCTCAAAATGGTGATCATTTTTTTTTCTTCAATCAATACAATGTGTCGCCTCAAACTTTCCTCAACTTCTTTTTCATTTTCTTCCAAATAGTATAGACAAAAGCGAGATGAACGAGAAGCATAAGTTGAGAAAACAAAAAAGAGGTTGGCTATCAAATAAAATTGTCCATATTTTGTTAACCCATTGGAGAATCTACTAGTATTTATGGTGTTAGTATTCTTCTTATGGACTTACCAAATGGTTAGAGTCGCAATTAGATTTTGAATATGTTTGACTAACGATAATAATCATTGAACAAAATATGGTAATAATTGAGGCAAAATGCCTGCATTGTTTTTCGATTTAGCGTAATAATATTGCAAACATGAGCTCCAAATTTGATTTGAAGAACAGTCCAAAGGTTTGAAATGTCAACAGGCATTGAATTTACCACTTTTTTTATTCAAATAAAAACCAAGCAGTAGGCGATAATAAAGGAGCTGCAGCAATTGAACGAGCTCAATACTGTTCAGCAGCATATCAAGTCAGATCTGGAAAATAATTTTAAAATTGTGTAACTTAGGTTCAGTTTTGTGTAAATCTTTTGTCTATCATAGTAAATATTTAACTTATTGCGACTTTTTGTCAAATATTATCCCTGCACATAAATCCGAATAAATGATAAATTTGTCTAATAAACCGGTCAGTTTGTAGTGATCTATTGTTTTATTTCAAAAAATTACGTAATTATTACATATATCAACTAAAAAGATGCTAAAACCATTTTAGTTGGTTACTGTTTCCTGGTCTAGGTTTGATTTTTCCTTGGAATTCGATTCCAGCAGCAAATCGAATGGAATCTCCATATTGTTTGCTTCCAGCAATGCGGTTAGTTTGGTTTTAAACGTTGGTTTTGGTAGGATGCCATCGGTAGAATAGTCAACCCATAGATCCAATGCTTTCTGAGCCTTATTTTGTTTGTGGTAAATATCCAAAATGGTTTCGTATATAACATGACGATCGCAGTATATGCCTTTTGTAGCTTTCAACAGTGTTTTTGCAGTCTCAACCCGACCGAATTCAACATATTTTTTACATTCTCTTGAAATGGCTCGCGAAATATTTTTGGTGCGATCATTTTCGAAAATGGCTTTCGCTTGCCGATCCTGGCCGCATTCAGCAAAAGCAAAGGCCAAACGGCACATTGCTTCATTTTCACCTTTACATTTCTCAAATGCATCGTAGGCGCGTTGCAGCAAGTCGATTTCGTTGTTTCGAATCAAGTGCGTGAACAAAACCATTGTCATTGGAACAAGGTTGTAAGTGTTTGCGAGATGTTCGTACTTTTCAACGGCTTCAGCGTATAATTTACTGTTCAAGCGGGCTGTAACTTGGGGTCCGGTCGATTCCACTGTTGCTTCAATATAGCTGTAGTTGATAAGGGCATTAAATAGTTTCTCAACCAATTTCACTTGACCATTGGTGGCCAACCGATCCAATAGATGTTCAAAGACAAAAATACGGAATTCCGGTTTGCCCTGACGATGAGCAAGCAACAAAGCATCAATCTCATCGAAATCACGACCCTTTTCAACCATCAGTGCTACCAGCTTGCCCACTTTGATGCTATCCAATTTGAAAGATACATTATTTGCACAAACTCGTTTCAACATGTTTAAAGCGTTCTCCAAGTTGCCCACATGTGTATAGAGTTGGATCAGTAACGCATAGTCCGCATTTGTAATGGAGAATTTACCGTTGGCCATCAATGTTTCAATTTCGGTAATGTTCCCTTCACGCACATACGCCATGAATAAAAGTTTCTCTGTTGCCGCGGCACTATGGCCTTGCGCTAATTTAACTTCCAGAATATTTTGCACATCGGCCGAACTGAGTTGGTTGTTGATGTTGTTGTTAAATGTTTTCTTGGATACCTTAACCGGCTTCAAATTCAGCTGTTCGGTGCTCAGTTTCTTCAGTAAACGGCCAATTTGTGTTTGATCGTCCACTTCAAGATGTTTCTGGATCTTTTCAGCTTGACTTGGACTAATGCCTAAGCCTTCTTCAACAAAAGCCTCCAATAGTTGTACGATGAGTTTTGAATCGACGCGACGATGTGAGATGGCCGAAACTAAACTTTCATCCAGAAATTCCTTTTGTTTTTGCTGAATATCGGTCGGTGACAATTTGTTGTCGCGATAATAGTCATTGATTCGCGAGAAACTGTCATAAATTATCCGGACAAATGACACAAATTTCTTGACATCTCCAGTGCTAGCAAATGCTTTCAAAAGTGGCCTTTTAACTAATCCAACGGCAAAAAAACTCTGATTTGTGCTTGCAAACTCGTAAGCCGTTTTGATATCGTCTCTGTTTAAGCATTGATTAACGATTGCAATGACTACATTGCGGATACGTATTTGAGTGGTTTGCAGATTGTAGAAAGCCAACGCTGGATTTTCTTTTACATTTAAACCGGGCAAAATAACATCTCGCACGAATGTGATTTGTGGTTGAATTCTAAAGTCAGAGCACATCAAATTCACAACGTCCAACACTTCTTTGGTACCCTTTTTGGCCGACAATTGAAACAGTTTTTCGAATACAGTTTCTGTCACTTGCAGCGAACGTGATTTCATGTGTGCCAATAGTTTGTGAATGATTTCAATAGACGAACTCTCGAGAGCTGGCTGAAAAACGTCAAAATTATATTCCATTGTAACGCCGGCCTTTTCGATACGTTTGAATACTTCATTGAATTCTTCTTCAGATGATTGGAGACGAACCATCTCTTGGAGCAAATGTTTATATTTTCCAAGGACGTCGCCATCACTTGTTTGCAGGAGCTTTGGCACGATTGCCGATTGATTGTTTTCAACGAATTTCGTGATGGCAATCAGCAGAGACCGTCTGAATTCAATGGTTGGTTTCAAACTTGGAATTAGGGAGTCAATTTTATCCGCATGGCCATTGACCGCTAGATCGCACATCACTTTGAGAATGTCGCGGTTCAGCACCTCCAAATTCTCCTCTTTGAACATTTCGAATGTCTTTTGAATGTTTTCCAGATCACCCGCCTTGGCATAATGACTCAATAGCGCTTCAAATGTGTATACGTTCACTTTATAGCCACTCCCTTTCAAAGTTGCAATTGTATCCATTGCTGCTTGGATGTTTCTATGAGGAAAAAATATGATTGAAACAATAGCTATGAGAAAATATGGATCAAATTCGGGAAACATGTCAAACAAGTGGAGAAAATGGTGAAGGAAGAATCAGCCGAATGTATTCCGAATTGATTTATTTTCGTTGGAATAATACTAACCCGCAGAAAATGTGGCACTGAACCAAGTTATTGAATGAAGATTCGTTGATGTAAAGGTTGTCTTTGTCCATCATTCCCAAAATCTCAACGGCTTTTTCGATATTTCCCGCATTGCAGTAGGTCGACAGCAAACATTGATACGAAATACTAAAATCAATTTTAATCGTATGAGAATTTTGTTTTCATCGCCAAAATGAATCAATTAGCCAAATGAACTGATCCAATCTACTCACGCGTTTGGTTTAATGTCATCTTTAATTAAATCATCGAATATCTGTTGAGCATATTTCACATCTTGTTTATTTCTGGCGATTTGCAGCAAGTAATTGTAGTGTTGAACTTGAAAATCGGGATTTTGCTTCTTCAATTCCTTCCAAATGCCTTTTACGATGTCATTTCTTACTTCGTCTGGATGAACGAATGAACACATTCGCAGAATTTCCAACGCTTGTGCACTGTCAACTGTTTGTGATTTCAAATTGGTTAACAGCGATTGTAAATCCCTATTTGACAGACGTGATTTGTTTTCCACTCGATTTTTCAGCTCTTCGACGACGGTCTTCAAATTGGCAGATCGATTGAGCTGCCTGACAGCCGGCGCTGCAGTTGCATAATTGCTATTGAAGTCGATTTTAAAGGAGAAAATATGGGATTTTAATAGTTGATGGCAGAGAAGAAGGCGATTAATAATGAGAAATGGACAACAAAAATCATCTGTACACAAATTGAATCCATAATTCTAATGCAAAAGTTCATTTTTTCATTGTATATCACAGCACCGGTACAACAATAACAGAGTAGAACACAACCTATAACACAGTAATGATTACCTTTTTTGTTGCGTCAAAAGCAAAGCTGGAACTGAATGACACTGGTTTGTGTTTACAATGTGTGCCAATCGCACGATTTTCAGTGAAGAATTACAGAATCGACTCAACATTTTGGCGAATTTGTTGTTTTTCGTTACACGCGGGCTGACAAAGACCGAACAACACTAAAATGTGAATACTATGGTTGCACATGACGATAGACAGCCGATGTCAAAATGATTATGTCAAAATCATCAAAGTCATTGCTTACTTACGGGCGATGAACACTAGATGGCGCCAGATGCGCCGCCATTCTCACAGAACAATGCAAAATGAAAACTCATCGATTTTAATTTTTGAAATAAAAAAAGAATACATTTATTTTTATGCTTCAATAAATTTGTGGTTAAATTATTGTATGCAATTACGATTTCGCATTGAAATCGCTTCATTTTCTTAATTAGGTAATTAAAAAAAAAAAAAAGAAATGTAGAATTTACCAATAATAAACAAGTGATTTTCTCGTAATATTTGTTCACTTAAAATATGTTTCAATTAAGTTAAATTGTATCGATTTGTTTTTTTTTCCTTCTCTCTAACTCCATGCGATTCACAGCTAATTTTGACCATTTTCAACTCTTTTTTTTCGTTTTATTTTCTTTAATTACTTTACAAAATATTCTCTTCTCTCTTCTGATTGAACATCGTATGGATCGCATTTTATGTTTTAATTTTGATGGGGGTGGAAAAAACGTGTTGATCTCGCCGGCGATAATAATAGATCAGAAGAAAGAAGATGAAAAATGCCACCAAATGAGAAAATTCCTTAAGATAATTATTTAAAATCTAATTTTCATAAATGATTTCGTGCAAAAATTAGAACAAATAAAATTGCTAAAGGCTGGCCGGGGAAGAGGAGTTGGGAAAAGGTAATAAATTTAAGATTAGAAGAAGCTTTATGATAGAGTTTGAGCAAATTTAAATAGAATAGCAGTATTGTTCCTTTTTTGTATGGTGTGCAATTTAGATTATTGAAAATGTGCTGCGTTTCATCATTTCTACAATATTTTTCTCCTCTCTAGAGACGTAGTTGCAAGACTGGTACCGGCATAGCGAACGGATTTATTGATTTTTCTGTATGATACTCTCCCATTGAGCGATGAGACGATGCGAAGATGGTGTCTCGCTTGGATCTACATCGCACAATTGCGCCAACGATACGGCCGGCTTCAATACACTTCGGCTCATCTCTCGCTGATAATATAATGGACTTGGCGATTCTCTGCAGAAGAAAAATTCGATAAACGATTAAATTCGATTCGTTCAATTTTCTTCGATTTTCTTGGCTACACAACAAACAACCTCCAAAGTTTAATATGACACGTGATTTAAAACTTAATTTACTTTGAAAATGTTATGTTCGACTGTGCTTACCTTGGCGAAAGACTAGTATTTTGTGTCAATGCGTCACACAATTCGCTGATCGATTTTGATGATCGTAGCTTGTAGCAGGGCTCATCATCGGAGTCTTCACCAGTTGAGTCACAGCTGTAGGCATAAAGAATACAATTTAATAACTTGAATCAAACCGAATATGTGTGTTTATGACTTACTCAACACCTTGATCGACACAGTCCAATAAATCCGGTTGCGATTGGAGCAGCTGATTGCGACGCATTCGCTTCAATTCGGTTTCACGTGAGCGTATGTCACGTAATTCCTTTTGGATCTTCTCTTCAACTGGAATGAAACCACGACGGATTGGCTTGCCAGTAGCATCTCGTTCGATGATTGGCGGTGATGAAGAATCTTGCTGTAGCATGAACGGCGTGCGATTCAATTCCAACGAAGTCTAGGGAATAAAAAATGTTTCCAATTCAAATATTTCTCTTTGAAACTATTTTTAGTTTTTTTTTGCAGAAGAAGAATTTTTCAAATAGAACCGAAATCATCTCTTATCAGACGAAACTCATTCCGATTGTTATTACACTTACCAAAATCGCGTCATTCCGTTTGTTTGCAAATCCATTCTGTTTCTGAGTCGTTTCCATTGCACCAACGCCATTTTTTGTGATGTTGTTATCATTATTATTGTTGATTGAATTGGCCGCATTGGCGGCATTAGCTGCAGCAGCCATTTTACCACGAGTCGAGATGAAGCGTTGCATGAGTCCTTTTTTGGCTGGATTAATTTGAAATCGTGGTGTTATGCCCGGTACAAAAATTTGTGGCGTAGATGTAGTGCGTGAAATGATTTTCGAAGCGACGCCAGACGTTGTGTTCGCCTTGAATGGGCTGGCCGAAATTGCATTCTGAACGGTATTCAAGCGAATATACTTCGACGGTGAGTTGATGTTTGACATATTTTTCGGTGGATCGATTTCATTAGCCGATTGCCCGTTGATTGGGCTTGAAGCTGACGAAATGCCGGAATCGTCAGAGAATGCCGAAACACTGTCGCTACATGGGTCTTTATCCGGGGTGCTTGACAAGCTTGAGTGGCCATCGCTAATAGGCGACATTGATGGATCAATGCCAGCATCATCGACAAAATCACCGTCATGCGATTGTGACAACATTTTCGTAGCGGTAGCTAGTTTCTCGCGATGTTCGCGCTCCCGTTGCTCAACCTCGTTAATTTCGGCCTGAATACGTTTTAATGGATCGTGATTCTGGAAAAATGCAGAGAGAGAAAGAAAAACAACCAAACAAATTAATCAAATTGTTATGAATCTTTCACCGATGTGTGGCGGTTTAAGAGGAGGAAAACAGAACTCATTCCAAGCAACACTAATTACATTTATGAAAAATTCATTCAAAATCTAAATGGAAAATGAGAGGTAAAAGCGCACATGCTCGCGCATCGTTGTTAATTGACGTTTTGAGTCGGAAGATGAGCTCATTATCCATTTGAAATACATATCTATTGAGAAAATTTGCGTGGCTTCGGAAATAGAACAGCCGCTAAAAATAACAATGGAATTCACAAAATCGACGCACAATAACTCTGCGGAAGCCATAAATTGCACACAAAATTTTAAGTTGCGTTTCTTTTTGTATTTTACAAAATTGGTTCGCATTCTAATTTTTCATAAGCTGTTTGATTTGCATAAAACATCGAAGTGTCTGCTGCTATAGCATGGTGACTGATTTAGTTCGCAAGCCAACCAATAACACGAAGAACAACAATGCAATCGGATTTCTAGGCGAATGAGCGCGCCAACATAACGGTTCCATTTGAAATATACACATTGTGGCTGGATGCATACAGAGAAGTAGATTGTATTCTTATGGATTAGATTTAGCTGGAGATGAAATATATTCGAAACCAAAGAGCAACAGCAACGGCAACCGCGGCAGCAACCGCTTTATATCCATTTATTGCATCGAATTACTCATAAATTTTCCGTAAATCAGAAGTAGAAAAGAGAAAGGGAAAGAAATCGACCGCAGAAGTATTCCACGTGCCCCATAACTCATGGATAACAACGAAATTACATTTTATCCCCTTCGTTTCAATATTCTCTCCCACTTCAGTAAGTGCTGCAAATTGTGCTTGCCAAAAACATGCAGTCAAGCATGAAAGTATCACGGTGACTTTATCAGTAATTAAAGCACAATCAATTCAATCGCTATTACGACGGTCCCATGCTCTTTTTTTTCAATTGTCGATAACGAAATGCCGCTAATTCAATCGGTTACGTAATTAGACGGTGTAATTCATTTCAAATTCTCTACACTATCAAGTCGGAACTGCTTGTGTCGATGCGGCCGCTTATTGTCTCTGGCAAATTATTGCTGTAATCATGAGAAACATGTAATTATCATTACGACAAGAAGAAATATCTATCGTTCAGTCTCTATGCGCTTGTTGATGGGTGTTTTTGTCGAGTGTGCAATTTAAGCGATCGAACATTAGTTGAGTGGTCAAAAACCTTCAACACATTGAATGGCCAATTTTCGCTTTGCGAAAGAAGCGACCGTTGAGCAGAAAAAGTCTATTGTTTTCGACTTGGGCTAGAAGTGATAAGCAAAAAAAGTGGAGCATCACATAAAAAGAAAGACGAAGAAATGCCCCAATTCATATCTTGTGCAATAATTCATCCGAATGGAATGTTCCGAATTTTTACTTAATTAAATCAAGCGCAACTCATTCAGGGGTCATATTCCACCATTTACACACCAGATCACACACACTCGCGTGTAAAAAAATTAATTTCTCAGCGCTTCATTATAAATATCCTCTTTTCATTCTTCCACATTTCACCAAACAGTGGCTCGCTCAATGAATGCCGCGAAATCTGAACAGACGAAATTAAAAAAGAACTCTTAATGTTTTTTTTTTTCTTCTTCTATGCAGTGGCTTTCCACATAAGTGGGATGTTTATGAGTTATTTTATGAATTCTTCAGCGTTTTTTTTCTTCATTCTTCTACTTTTTTGATGAACTGTGTGGTTTCCGCATTTTTCTCTGAAATTCATCGAGTGCAGAGAAACCAAAAGATAGCGAACGATAAAAGAAATAAAATGATGATGTATGGGGCTATATCCAAACGAAAACATAGAAATATTTGGCCTGATTCTTGCGTCGACCAAGCAATTAGTTCAAATTCTTGTGTAAGATATGTCATCATCACGCGTGCACACAGCGCGCACACACATAATGGAAAGAGAAACGACAAACTCCGAATCCAGTAAACATGTTTTTAATTTCTACGAAACCGCTAAGTACGCTCTCGCGCGCACTCTATGTCGTCGAAGAATGTACACGGCCAGCATTTTTTCCTTTCTCATTCCATTGTGCGCGCTGCTTCGATCGATCATCGACTCTTGTTGCGTCGCATCTTTTGTTTTACACGATCTTGATAACGATCTTCATCGTTGTAATCGCCGTCGTCCGTCTTGCTCATGCAATTTGACCGATTTAACTTGATTTTGCTTGGAACATGTTGACATCGATTAAAGCAAACTGACAGACTTCACTCCGACTATGTTCGTCAAGTGTCTGATTACGTGCGCCAATGTGCAACAGAAATCAAACAACTCTGACATAATTCTTGATTTATCCATTTTGCCGTTAAATGTCATTGACAATGATAAACTGACATAATGCTTGGATCATCGCATCGCATCATAAATGTGTCCATCCTCACTCTCAATAATCAGCAATAGTTGTGCTGACTCGCCCAAAATGATTAAGAGAACAACATTTTCAATGCTTGGAAAGGCAAAAAATTGACATTGAATCTAATTTCTAGTAATGCACTTCACTTTATTTTGTTGTTTTTGGTTGTGTTCCACACGTGAAAACACGCGCAAGGTATAATTATAACGTAAACATCGCAGGGAAAAGCAACAAAAAACGACAAGAAGAAACGCAAAAAAAACCAAATAAAGAACACATTGTTCGCAAAAGTACAACAAATATTTGCTAAAGAGACACTTTACCGCTATGGATGTCGTCGAAGAGGTTTGTTATAATTTATACACAATGACAACAGTTGTATGCGATGCACGACCATAGTCTTGCTCATTTTATCGTCGTGCGCATTTAGTCGATATTCTGCAACATTCAATGATGCCACTGTCTGGATATTTTGTACGTTTCGCCACAATCGAATCGCTTCTTTGGAATCGACCGAGACGCGTAAATGGTAATGCGTAATTTGAGACGATCATTTCTAGAGCACAATTTGTGAATACAATTTCATACAGACAACGTGCATGTTCAAGTTGAAAATATCCATCACATTCGTTGTAGTAAACATGCAGAAGACTTCTGTATTGAATGATTCAATATAAAAATATTCCCATAAATTAATACACAAACGATGAGTCAATGATTGCAATCATATGTTTATATATAAACAAAGGGGACTGTATAATGATAAAACCACCCGACAATCGTTCACTTGCAAATCCACTTAATATTGTGTTTGTTGACTTTCAAAATCGAAAACAATGATGTAAATCAACACTTGAAATTCGCAGTCGTGAGATTACAATTGTCAGTCAATCGATGATAATGAATTGAACAATTGCAATATTTTATGCAAATTTTTCCATTCGACTCATTGCATCCATTCAACCGACTGAGTTCATTCCACTTGTCTCGGTTTCACATCTAATTAGATGACGAAAAATGGGTTCAACTTTTCACATCTACCAACAATGACTGTTATCACAAGCACTCGACCTATTTCGCAAGTGCGCTTACTTCATCGAGGTCTAATTTTGTGATGAATTATTTACTCGGTGCAAAGTAATTATTTTTGGGTGTGATTTTTTTCTGTCTTTGATGCGAAATGTTCGAATTTGAGGTGGAAACTTATTAGAAAAAGCCGTTAAATTTCTAAGAATGTCGTGGATGAATAATCCATCAATAAATATATCACTTTATCGTAAATCAAACAGCAGATTTGCGCAATGGATATATGATTCACCGGCGTTTTTATTGAAATTTTATCAAAGAAATGAAAGACAAACTCTTTTTTTTTCGTTTGCATTGTGTCACCTGTTTGCTATATTATTTTTAGGGGCCCATATGTGTTTAGATAAAACTGCATTTCACTCGATGGCAAGTACTGTTCATCGCCGCAAGCCCATTTTATCAGCTCGCTCGATTACCGCTTTAAAAGCATTTCTCCGTAAAGTGAATTTGAGGTCTAAGTCAGTAACGACGTAAAAACTTAATTGCCATATCAATTTTCAACTATTTTTATGTAGCCTTTTTCCAGTCGAAACCAACAACAATTCACGATTTTTTTCCACAATTTTCTAAAATATTTCGTTTTGTTGAAATTATTGTTTAAGTGTTTTCAATAAGTGAAAAACACTATCTATACACACTTAATAATGCATTAATGATTGAAAGTTGCGAAAATAGAGCCGATACTCAGACACACACAATGATTTTGAAATATGATTGTTTTCCTTGTGAGTGGATTTTGGACATGGAAAAGTGTATGTTTTCTGTGTGTTGGCAACATCAAGGCGTATTTGAACAGAGAGAATATGGGCTGTTAAGCACTTGATGTATCATTCATTGACATAATGGGAAAGTCGATTGAATACATCAATCAAATGGGTGGATTTGCGTAATTTTGCAACAAAATCCAAATGAAATCGAAACAAAAAAGCGACCGGTACATTGCACTTCATCATGCATTATTTATTGAACCTCAAAATTCCTTGAAATACGCAAAAATTTTGCAATTACCGTATTCTTTCAATATCAATGTCTTGAAACAAAACGCTTAGCCGCATTATCGCGCAGTTACAAATTCCGTAGAAAATAAATCAAATTGAAATTTTTTTTACGCGTTGTTTTGTTTTAATTTACAGCAAGCACATAATTAAATGTTTGGGCTAAAGCTCAATTATAATTTCATACAATTAAAATGAAACAGCAATTTCATGAACAATGCTCAACAACGGCAACAGCCAAGTGGTGGAGGCTTCAAAGACAACAAGCGAAGAGACGGCAACGACAACAACGACCAAAATGGATGGAAAAGAAAAGAAATGATCGCGCTCGCACTCTTTATAAGTGCTCGCGTTCTTTATAATATTGCATTTAGTCGCCGTTGCGTGCGCCTTAGCCAATTGAAATTGCATTTCGAGCACCTTCCTACAATAGAAAACGAAACACAGCGCGATAGAGAGAAAAAAAC